TCTTTTCTTTTTTTTTTTTACAACACACTTTTGCACTACACTTTTATTGACCTGGTATTGGTATATGCTTGAGATTACAAATGTTAAGTATTTCTGGTCCCTATGTATGCCTAAAGAGTGTAAACAAGCTTTCCTCCAGACACCTTATCAGCTCTCAGTTCGTCCAATCCTTTGAGAATACCCTCGAAACCACTACCACCTTGGTTCACAAAGGTCTGCGGAGCCTTGAGCTTACCCTCCTCAAGAAGCTTTCGGGTAATCTCCCAAAAGTCTTTTGCAAACTCAAACTCATCAGGCTTGGCTGGTGTCTCAGAGCCCTTGAAGAATCTCTCACCAAAGATGGAGTACATCAGAGTAACATAGGGTCCATCCACCTTCGGGTTTACATCCAACAGTTCCTTCTTGTCTACAGGGAGGAGAGTCGCGTACTTTCCGCCCTTTGTGCTTAGCGAACCGGCACAGACGGCTGCTCCTAGACCGGTGCAGTCCCAAGCGAGCTTCAAAGTATCATTGGTGTATTTGCGGATTTCTTCAGCAACGTTGGGAGATTTGTAGTCGAAAACAGCTTCAGCTCCAAGGGACTTGAGATAGTCGAAGTTGTGTGGGGAAGCTGTTGCGATAACTTTCATGCCTGATAGCTTGGCGAACTGGATACCATAGATGCCAGTCGCAGTGCTTCCGCCATAGATGAGAATGAAGTCGTCACTCTTCTTGCCTTCGTTAGGACGCGGTAGACCCAAAGTCTTATAGAGTCCTTGGCCCTAGTCGTTGATCAGCAGCTGGTCTTCGCCTCGGCAGACATATACTTACTACAGTCGCAATAGAAATACCGAGGGTTGCAGCATCTTCGTCGCTTACATTGTCTGGTGTCTTGATCTGAACATCGCCTTTGGCAACAATATATTCAGCAAAACCTCCGTTCTCATGCTGTGTTCGATCACTAAAGAGTGTTAGCGAACATCCATTTTCCAAGATAGCAACACTTACCCTCCATGAACCACTCCGCTAATGCGATCACCCTTTTTGAAAGGCTTGGTCACTTTGCTACCAATTTCCTCGACGACACCAGCATAGTCGCATCCAATTCGAGAGCCAGCGTCGGCAACTTCAAAGTCGATATGCTTCCAGTCTGTGGGGTTGATACCAACGGCATTGACTTTAACAAGCACGTAATCGTCACGGAGCTTAGGCTTTGGAACTTCTTGGATAGTGGCCTTGCCCTTCTCGACCATAACGATGGCTTTGGTAGTCATGGTGGCGGTTCTGTATGAAATATGAGGAATGATTCGATGAATCTGGCTTAAAGACAGGTATGGAATAGTTGAGCTTTTGTAAAAGGTTGAGATCACTAATGGCGTCATGATGGTGGACCAAAGTGACGATCTGCGTCATTGATAAGTCTTTGTGCTATCATTTATCATATATATCATGCTGTGAAGCAAATATTATAAATCCCCCTCAATCAACCGTATCATGCACGGAGTTTTTGATAATAATTCCACTTCTTGAAAGAAGCGTCTTGGCTTCTTAACTCAAGAATGAATTTATAAGCTCGAGTCTATCGATAATGCCTCTGATTGGCTACATGAGCTTCAACGTTATGTATGGAAAACATAGTATTCGTAATCAACTCCTCCCAATGAGCTCATACAGGATTCATGATTGATCAGCTCTAATCCTTGGTAGCGATAGCAACCGTGACCAACGCGTCATTGCGATATACCTGCGTCTTATCAGGATTGAAACCTGCCTCCACCAATTCGTTCTTCATTTGCTCTTCCTGCGAAAATCTGTCTTGTACTGGCGTTGAAGCAGCTACTTCGAATGAGCTAACTATAGCGATCCCTCCAGGCTTGAGAGTTCGATGGACTTCTTCCAAAGCAAACTTCGCAGCCTGAGGGGATGGGAAAGGCCAGTTGCTGAAAGAGTGGCTGAAGTGGTTGTTTGAAAAGTCTAGATCCTAATCTCTAGTGAGTATTGAAGTCCTCAACACACAATCTAGGTAGGACTTACTCGAGCATCCATGACATGAGCCTCCAAAGGCCATTTGTTTCGCTTCGCCTCCTCTTCGCAGCACATGATAAACTGAGGGTTATCGTCAGTCGCCTGGATACGAAAACCCTTTGCCGATGGTGAAGCCCTAGCTATGATGGCTTTCGACACAAGACCAAAGCCACAGCCATTGTCGTGGATCAGGTCCGTTGACTTGATGGGATCAATGAGGTTAAGTGAGAAGTTGACAAAGTCATTGCCGCTTCCCCCCAGCTCACCCGAGTCTTCTGTCTTATGCTGAGTCATTTGGTGTGTTTCAAAAGATAAAGACATTATGATTAGAGAAGGTTAGATTGCGGTGAGCGAATAGTGATCTCATGGTGAGAAACGGCATATTTAAGCAGAGACAGTTGTCCACTCTCTTATCTTGCTGACAAGAATGAGGCGGCCTGCGGTGAAGAAAGTGGGGTGAAATGGTAGAAAAAGCAAAGAAATGGCCCTGTCTGGGCATTGTTTTCAGCTGCCAAGGATGTTGCAACAAATCGACACCAATACCTCGCAAATACGAAAAGAATGTGCTGTAATACGACGGGTCAAAGCGTAAGCTGATGTGAGGCGCGGTGGGTTGATTGTGGCTATGACTTTTTCTACGTGGATCTTTCTTCCACTGGATGAACCAGCAGTTAGGCTACTTTATTCCTGTAGCCTACCCACCGTTCACGCAAAGCCAACAGTATCTAGCAAAGCGTCCAAGGAAGATATACAAATGAGGGAGCTTTCTGCCGATATTTCCCATCGAACAAATGTTTTCTTAACAGATTTGTACTTCCAGTTGATCTTTGCAATCGCTCTCTTGCCATCATGACTTTTCAACCCCGCTGCGGATCTTGCTCTACGCATCCGCTAGGCTCTTAACAAAGACGCCTATAAGATCTAGAATATGCCATGGAAGGCAAGGAAGGCTCTTTGATAGGTCTTGTTTAAACCGGAAGAGGCTACATCTCGGCTTCTCTGGTATAGGATAAGGGGTTGTAAGGCTGAAAACGTGAAGATGAACATGGCAACTCCCGAGTCAGTTCCGCGGAAGAGATGTGGAGTCTTCTTCTTCTTCCCCGCAAACCACATTCCGGAGCAAGCGGAGGAGTGAGATTCCATATTGTCGGAAGTCAGAAAGTGGAGATCGGAAGCCGGGTCTTGGATTACTTGGTTATTAGTTTGCTCACGGACTCGCCGGCTATGTCTATGACGAGCGAATGGGGACTTTATAAGATATCAACATCAACGATTGTTCTTCTGAAAGTCAATAAAAGCAGAAATAAATCTCCTTAACCTCTTGGCTTCGTCCTTCATCCATCATAAACCACACGCAATGGCTGAATCAACAAGCAACCAAAAGCCCTTCGACATTGCCATCGTCGGCGGTGGTATCGCTGGTCTCACTCTTGCCATTGCTCTTCACCGTCGCAACATCCCCGTCGTCCTCTATGAACGAGCTGATGATTTTCACGAGATTGGAGCTGGAGTCTCATTCACACCTAATGCTGTGCAGGCGATGAAGGTCTGCCATCCTGGTGTCCACGATGCTTTCCACAAAGTATGCACCTGGAACGCCTGGGAATCTAAGAAGGAGACTTGGTTCGACTTTCTAGACGGCACTACCGAAGAGGACAAGACTGAGTTCAGCATTAAGACTTCTTTGGGTCAGAACGGAGTACACAGAGCTCATTTCCTGGATGAGCTCATCCATCTACTACCATCGGATAGAGTGCAGTTCGGCAAGCAGATCGAGGAGGCACATGAGGATTCCGATGGCAAGATCCGCATGACCTTTTCTGATGGTTCAACGGCACACGCCGATGCTTTGATCGGTTGCGATGGTATCGGATCTCACGTCCGAAAGTTCATCGTGGGAGACAACCACCCATCTGCCCGACCACAATATTCTCACAAGTACGCTTACCGTGGTCTTATCCCTATGGACAAGGCGATTGAGGCTGTGGGTGAGGAGAGAGCACGAAATGCGTGCATGCATGTAAGTTGATACGAGATGCTTTTTCATCTGATACTGACATATACAGATGGGACCCGATGGACATATCCTGACATTTCAAGTGAATCATGGTGAGAAGCTGAACATTGTCGCTTTCCGCACTGATCCGCATGAGTGGGACAACCCCAGAAAGATGACAAAAACTGCTCATCGACAAGACGCTCTTGATGATTTCAAGGGATACAACAGTCAAGTGCGAAATCTCTTGAAGCTCACAGAAGAGACTCTCAGTGTCGTATGTACTTTCTTCCTCTCATATGAGCTTATTACTGACAACCGCAGTGGGCAATCTTCGACACAGGCGACAACCCCATCCCTACCTTCTACAAGGGCCGGATAGCCATTCTCGGTGACGCAGCTCACGCCTCAAGTCCTCACCACGGCGCAGGAGCCGGATTCTGTATCGAAGACAGCGCCGTCATGGCAGAGCTACTAGCCGACAAGCGGGTGCAGACTCACTCAGACCTTGAAGCTGTGTTTGCAGCATTTGATGCCGTGAGAAGGGAGAGGACACAATGGCTTGTGCAGAGCAGCAGATTTATCGGCGATGCTTATGAGTGGCGAGCAAAGGGTGTAGGAAAGGATTTCGTTGGCATTGAGAGGGAAATTAATGAGAGGATCACCAAAATTTCGGATGTTGAGATTGCGAGATCTTGCGAGATGGCCTGGGAGAAGTTTGGCGAGAAACAAGGTTGATCGTTTTTAAGCTTTAAATAATACTTTTAACACACACTGAATCAGACACGTGAGATAAAGAGCTTCCTATGCTCATTACAAGTGGTACATTTGTACCAATTTACGTAGTCGGATTTGCAGAAATATATCCGACTCGACCAAATACAGAACCAGATCTCGCCATAGATATGCATGAGATTGCGACAACATCAGATCATGATATCCCACCCGCCATCAGGCCTGGAACAAGATGGTTAGTTTCTCCCAATAATCGATTCATAACGTCATCCATGGTATTGTACTTAAAAGAGTGCCTGTCTCGCTGTGCCTTGGGCATCTCGGTGATATCATAATGCTGTCCACCGATACGTGTTGGACCATCGCCATGTTTGTTGCCGTATGCCTTGAGCTTCACCATCCAGTTAGTAACTCCATCCCATCGAATTCGAATAACGTACCTTGGTTCCCCAGTTGACATTATTACATCTCTTCATATCCTTGGCCCTCTTCTCGCGATTATCAATAATTTCATCATAGTGCTTGTCAAAGTCATGAGGAGCGGTGAGTTCAATGTCGGCTTCTTCCGCAAGGTCGATAACCTTGTAGATCCACGAGCAGCACTCCTCGGAGAACTCGCAATCGATCTGTTCGCGACCCCAGCGGACGAGCATGAAGAGGACGAGACCGAGGTTCTTAATTTCGGAGTCGGGCTTGAAGACGTCTTGCTTCTTGAGTGCGTCGATGGTAGCGAGGGTCAGATAGCCGACCATTTCGCTGATGGCTTCGCACTTTGCTGGATCATCACACACTGTAGCTATGCGTTAGAGCGCGTCGCGAAGATGATGAATGCGTTGCACTTGCTCTCATAGCTGACGATACCACTGCGAAGAATCAGAGCTAGACCCTCAACTTCAGGCCAGAAGTCACGATAGCTTGCCTTGGCCTTGAAGACAGAGTTGAACTGAAGGAACTGTGCACCAATTAATTGTGTTGCAAAGGCACACAGTAAATGGACAGACTTACAATGTTCTCCATGAGCTCATGCATGCCGTAAGCAGTGAAGTCGTTGTAAATGTGCAGATCAAAGTCATCCTGATCGCGCTTGAGAGCTTCAACCTGCCACCAAGTCAAGCGATCATGGGCGCGCATTGTAAAGTACCAAGGCCAGTCAGGATGAAGCGATGCAAGCTTGCCATAAGGCTTCTTGTCTTCTCCCTCCTCCTCTCCATCCTTCTCACCTTCCTTGTCCTTCTTTCCACTCTCTTCCTCCTCGTCTACCAAGCTCGAATCGACCGACTCTTCATCCTCCTCTTTTCGTTCCGAGCTAGGAATAGGCAAGCAGATAAAATCCCAGTCATCATTCCCCTCGTCGTCAGGAACAGTGCCATTCTGCTTCATGGCTTCCTCTCTCATCTTCCACTTCGCAGCAGGCAGCTTGAGACCCGCCTTATGAGCTTCAAGCCAAGGACCGTGATCCTCCCACCACTTGCGACTGTTCAAAGTCATGGAACGATCAGGAATCGCGTCAACTGCAGCGACCCAACGCGAGGGCATGGGTAAGTTCTCAATGACTTTTGCCTCTACGCATTCAGAGGGTATGAATTGAGGCATCATGGATTCTCCTTTAGGACCTTTTGGGATGCGACGCTGGCGAGAGCCTCGAGGGCCTTGAGAGCATTCGCCTTGCTCCTCTGCATTGCCGGTCCTCGCGCTCTTAGACGCGGGCTGGTTATCTTCGGCGTCGGCGGCCGGGCGCTTGTTCTGAGCTTTTCTGGGCGGCATTTTGTTATAGTTTATGGTCAAGATGATGATAACACTAAATTACGTCACATAACGGCTGTAATTTAAGGGGATGAAACTCAAATTTGATCGGCCGTGTATAGCGTTACGTCACTGTGTAGCCACAAGAAAAAGCAACTTTTGGTGTTTGCGCCAGACGCGTCGAAGTTACCCTGCACACGACGTGTTTTTTGCGCGCATCGCATATAATCAAGCACTAATAGAGAGCAAGGTAATAGTATTAAGGTGAGAGAAATAAATAAAGTATCGAAGATCACTTAAAAGTCTAAACCGTTGGGTTTGTTTGTCAGTCTTTTAGAATATGTCGCTTGGCATATTAGGTTAAAATTGGAAGATAGAATGGTCCCTACCTCAAGGTGTCATACGAATTAGCCCCAAGAGCATAAGAGATGAAATAATGTGACCACCTTATGCCAGCTTAGGCTAGTATTTAGGCTACTCTATTTCTGTAGCCCAAGTCTTGGAGGACATTTTTTCTAACACCCACCTGCCTACTGACATGGCGCAGGGTTAACATCCGGATGCTTTTAAGAATATGCTTCTCAAAACCTCAAACAGTCAAGGGGCATGAAGCAAGTTTCTCAGATTTAGAAGAAATCAGCAGCATCAATACACATGGAGCAATAATCAATAATTGTCGAGTACAAATGCCAAAAGACAGAACCTGTCATTGACCTTCTACATCTTGTTCACCTCGAAGACAAACCCGCGCGCGATTGATCTACATCCATTGCTCCACTAAACCAGGCACAAGAACGTCAACTCAATTCCACAAATTTCCAAACTTGGGTCGGAGATTCTTACCTTTCATGCCAAGAGCTCGCGCTTCGTCAATGACAGCTTGCGGGATCAGTTCCTCCAAGCTGTTCATCTCTGGTTCCCAATCAAGCGTCGCCTTAGCTCTGTCAGCCCCAGCACGCGCGTTTGTTCCCAGCAGTACGGATCCGCGAGGAATTAAACGATCAAACTCCTCAGCATCGACCTCATCCACTTCGTTGCTCGGAATCAGGTTGAAGTCATTTGCAGCGATGGCGACTCGTCGCGAGATGTCGCCAAATGGCTGTCCACTCTGTTAGCATGCTGCAAGCACTTGAACCGCATCAGAGAACCCACCATTTCTCCCACACCAGTAAAGAAAACTCCATTTGCGCCCCAAATGTTTTCATCTTGGTCGCCTTCAGCCGCCTTCTCTACTAATCGGAGAAATAAGCAACTCAAGTCTTGGATGTGAATGTTGCCCCATCGACTCTCGCCAGGTCCAACCCTCAGTCCCCGCTGGCGCTCCAGTGTCGCTTTGGCGAGGTCCGGAATCTGCATGCTTCGCTGATTGCCAGGTCCACGACCCTTGCCAAAAATGATTGGTGGAATGATGAGGGCTGTTTTAACAGGCGATTCTTGTTCGTTCACCGAGAAGATGTAGTTATCCACAGCGCGATTGGGGTGCTGCTTGATGAACGATTTGATCGAGTCGAGGCCGCTCAGGTCATTGTAGATGACATCACTACCCGAGCCAAAGACCCGCGTCTTGTCAGCGAGTTCACCAGCTGCGAGTGCGCTTGCGCCTGAGATTTGGATATAGTACGGCGATTTAGAGCCTTTGGGTTTGTTCGCAAGAGCTTCGTAGATAGTTTGGACGCTTGCTAGATGGCCGGTAGCTGCCAGATCTGCAGGGACAGTGACATTAGCGAGCGCAACAAAAGCGGGGGACTGTCTGGAACAGACGGATCACAATGTCGGCTTCCTTTGCTTCTTGAGCGATGATGTCTGTATCATCGAGGCCGCCGTTGACGATCTCTACTTGCTTGAAGACTTTGGTAATTGCAGCGCCCTTGGATGCATCTCGAACCAAAGCGCGAACTCTGTATTCACGGTGCGATTTGAGCAGCTGATGGAGGACGTCGCCCCCGATGTACCCAGAAGCGCCAGTGCTATTCAGATCCATGTTAGCTGGTGGAAGCCGCTAAGAGAGGGACACTGACAGGAAGATTCTTGTCATGGTTGATGTTGTTTGAGATCAGTAGGTGTAGAATGCAATTATTAAGATGGATACTTTTCCTTTTGGTATGAACTGAAGAAGTTGTCGGGCTGGTCTGCACCTTCCTTCATTGTGAAGTGTTCCAGCGTGCCTGCGTGCTTACAGTGGCTTTAGGCTCTCGAGCGCTGTGCCGAGGCCTGAGGTTTCCACTTGCATGTTGTTTCGCAACAAACATTGCTTCAACTTGAACCACCGCCAAAGAGTGCCACGCTGCAACGACATCAGGGAATCCGACATTTGGTCTCAGGACATTTGGTCTCAGGAAATGTCAAGACTCGTCTTATCCTCGAACCTGCGCTATAAACCGTCGACGCATCCATGCTACTCCGATTTACTAGGCGGGCTTTGGCCAAGCGCCAAACGCGTTCGAATTCGCGTCCTTGAAGCAGCCCTCCTGCAGATGCGACAATCCCACCACCACAATCGACCGGAACATATCTTCCTGGAATCCTATGATATGACCACGATTGGTCCCATCCATGTCATTCGAGATCTGGCTACGGAGTACGAACTGTCACTCATAACGACCCCCGCAACCCGCGATCCACACTTCGGGACAAGACACCCCGAGTATGATCCCCTCTCGCCGTCGACATGTCATCGCTTCGTGATGTCCCCAATAATACCGCGTGGGGTTTTCGAGATTGGGGGTCACTTCCGGCCCGCTATATAAGCATGGACGGCGCTCCGTTCTTCAGTTCCAACCGATGAACTTCCCTACGAATGTCAACACCATGGCCGAAGATCAAGCATCGAGAAAGCGATACGCCGTCGTCGGCGCGGGCGGCCGATCCAGCTTCTTCTACTCAGCTATCGCGACCGATTACAACAAGACCTCCTGTATCGTAGCTTTCTGCGATACCAACCAAACTCGCATGAACTATGCCAACTCGAAGCTCAAGTCCCTCGGGCATGGCGAAGTACCGACTTACCTCGCTAGCAACTTCGACCAGATGATCAAGGAGTCCAAACCTGACGAGGTCATTATTACAACCATGGATAGAACGCATAACATATACATTGTCCGAGCGCTAGAACTGGGATGCAATGTCATTACGGAGAAGCCTATGACTATTGATGCGCCGAGATGCAAAGAGATCTTCTCGGCGGTCGAGAGGACGGGCAAGAAGGTTCGCGTGACGTTTAATTACCGATATGCACCCCACAACACCAAGGTCTTTGAGCTGATCAAGTCGGGGGCCATCGGAAAAGTCACCAGTGTTCACTTCGGTAAGTAGGAATGACAGGCGATGGAGGGCATGACTGACACGAGTATAGAATGGATGCTCAACACAAGTCACGGAGCAGACTACTTCCGTCGCTGGCACAGAGACAAGCGCAACAGCGGCGGTCTCTTGGTCCACAAGTCAACACATCATTTCGACCTCGTCAACTTCTGGCTCCAAACACGACCCCAAACTGTTTTTGCGACAGGCGATCTTGCATTCTACGGCAGAGAGAACGCAGAGAAGCGCGGTAAGACCGAGTTTTATTCCCGCGCGCACGGCAGTGAAGTCGCCAAGTCCGATCCCTTCGCACTGCATCTCGATCAGAACCCTCAATTGAAGGCCATGTACCTCGACGCCGAGCATGAGGATAGCTACTACCGCGACCAGAGCGTTTTCGGTGACGGGATTAGCATTGAGGATACGATGAATGTACTCGTCAAGTATCGTAACGGAGCCAGTCTCTCCTACTCCCTCACAGCTTACGCGCCTTGGGAAGGCTTCCGAGTGAGCTTCAACGGAACGGGCGGACGGCTTGAGGTCGAGATTGTGGAGAATAGCTATGTCAACTCTGGCGGTGACCAAGCTGCTGAGGGTTCTATCGAGAGCCGCAAGATCCTGCTGCGACCTCTTTTCGAGAAGCCACGAGAAATCCAGGTTGAGGAGGGTGTTGGTGCACATGGAGGTGGAGATACAGTGCTGCTGAACGATCTGTTTGGAACACCGGTGTCGGATGAGTACATGAGAGCGGCGAGTCACGTTGATGGAGCGGCTTCGATACTGACGGGTATTGCGGCTAATAGATCCATTGCCACAGGTCAAGCTGTCAATGTGGACGATATTCTGATGGTCCCAGATTCTTGAGATAATTATATACACAGCTGCGATGTACAATACAGCAATAGGAGATGACTTCAGTCCCAAATGGTGTCAGCCATGGCTGACTTGACCAACCAGTCCTTGCATACCCAGTCAACCCGCTTCGCAATAACAGGTATCTCTACAGTAGATACATCAAGCATCCCGCAGGGGTCGTAAACATTCGCATCATCCATGTCGACAAGCGGTGCGCTATACTCATGATACGCAACAACGACCTTGAGGGGACGAGCATAGCTAGAGTCTCCTCCCTTTTCCGGATTCCACTCCCTTCCACCAATCGAGCGCTTAATGTTCCAAGATTCCCGGCGCAGCACATACGGCATCGCTATGACGAGATGTTCGAGGGTGCGAGCTCTAGCGACGTTGTACCAGAGTTGTTCTTCACCCAGGTTGATCTTGAAGCCAGATAAGCGTCGCATCTTGGGCCATATTTCGCCAAGTTCGAGCCCAGCTCTCCAGAACTCTAGGACAGGCAGACCGCCAAGAGTGGTAAGCTCTTCAAGGTTGGTAAGTGCTCGTAAACCCTGGGAGAAGAGAGCGTCGATATGCACGTCAATGCTGTATTGCTGTGCGATTCTGCGGTAGGGGAGGTCGACGATGAGACGGCGCACGGAACCGCCTAATTTGACAAGTAGGTCTCTGATCAATCCGCCCGTTCGAACGGACTGGATCTCCTCCATACTGAGGCCAAGGTAAACGGAGGACACCTCAGAGAGCCGCATAACCCGGGGAAGAGTTGCTGACGGGCCATCATCTCCCGAATCCTCGGAGTCGGCCAGACATTTCAGAAAGCTTGTCAAACGAGGGATAGAGTCGATATATACGCAATGCTGTCGTAGAAACCTCGTCGCGGGCTCATACGTAGCTCTGCACACCCGACTCCAAGCGATTAAGTTCTGCACATCGGCGTGTCCAACATCAACGGTGCGGTTGGGGCGTCCAGGTGGTATTGTCGCTTCGAGAATCTGAAGGACTATTTCGTGAGGGATATAAAGATTATGCGTCATATTGATATGAATGGTGGCTGTGTTTTCCCTCTCATCAATGGAAGTGAAGTCAGTCTTAAAAGCGATTGAGTTTTCGCGGTTGCCTGTTAGGCTGCGGTTTAAAGAATTGGCATGGGCCACCGACAGCTGAAAGGAATATCCAGAGCAACGGATTCAACTCGCTAGGCAATAAAATTAATAGAGCCCACCTTGCCCAGATTCTAATAATTGGTGTTGACTGTCAATTATTTGTAACTGCGCGACACGTTGGGGTGAGCTTTCTGGTGTTTGCAAGTTGTTGATGCGACGCTTGATGCCCTGTAATCATCAGCTGTTGGCGGAAACAGCAGTGAGAGTCGTAAATTTAGTGGGCTGCTTGCAGGGCACCCCCACTAATTTGTGGTAAGCTAGAGGGTCAGCTCCAGAAAGGCATCCATTTGCTAACGGCAGATGGAATGGCCGAACCAACAATTTCTGCTGAGGATACAAATCCATGCTACATGAAAACACAGACTTGCAAGGCATTCTTCATTGACTGATTGCCAAGGAGTGCTACTGATCGTCAACTCATTGCTGACGCCCCCAATTGATCAACATCAGACAGAAGCCTGACCAAACACAAAGCGACGCGGGCGTCAGAAGAGATCATAAGAGACAAAATAATTTGGTCGTCTTATGCCTTCTTAGGCTCGCGCTTAGGCTAGCTTTAGAGACCTGGCGGGGTAGGAATGCGGAGTAGCTAATGCCCAGGCAGCCATTTAAAGAACAACATATTAAAGAATGCCCAGCATAAATCTCATCTTAAGATCATTACATTCATTGCATTCATATCTTGTCCGTCGCCAAAATGACAGTTAAAGCTGGCTCTCTACCCTACGAGTCCTCTTGGTACAATGACTCTGCGCGCTACGAGTACCTCCGGAGCGATCTCTTCTGGACACTCGCAGCCTTCATCTTCGTCAATTGCTGGTGGTCCGCCAAACAAGTCGACTCCTTCGACACAACACCTTCTGAGCAACCAACTAAACCGTCAAGATTCTGGCTCAAATATCGCATCACTTCACGCCTTTCCAAATACATCGTCTTTCTGCTCTGCAGCCTAATCCTGCCAATGCACCTCCTTCATGGCTCTTGGGTTCTCAAGTCAGCGTGGCGAATTACTTTTGGGCTGGTCAATCGCACGTACCCTGCCATGAAGCCGCGCATCCTCGGGTTTCTCGTCTACTCGCCTCTCACTGCTATCATTCTACTTGGCTGGGCTGTTGTTTTGGGATTTGGGATTGTGATTGTGGGAACGCAGGTTTTATTGATTTGCAGATTATGGGAGATGACGCCTTTTGATCTTTCTTATGTGGAGGAGATCAAGGACAAGGGTGAAGGAGAAGGGGATTGGCAAGAGATCAAACAAGATGACAGCGATTCAAAGAAGGATAAGTAGGTCGTTGTTTAGGCCATTCATTACTATAGAAGCTTAATGGACTTGAAGTCACTCTTTAGTCTGACTTCTAGAATCGCGACCAAGCTTACTCGTCTCGCTTCTCAAATGATCCTTTTTGTACATACAGGAAGCACCTCTAAGCCCAGTATCTCATAGCTGCTTGCGAGTCTTCTTGAAGAATCTCGAAGTGTCACCACAAGGCAGCTCAAAGGGAAGCGCATCGGCACACATGGAGGCAGCGCAGCTGTAGTAGCCCAATAGTCCAGAAATGAACCCAAAGACACCGGCAGCCGTCATTAGACCCTTCGCAACCTCGAGCTTGCCGTCAGCATGGGCGAAATTTGACGCTGCGTCGAGAGTGAAACAGAAGAAAATGGTGGTGAAGATGCCGAATGAGACGAGGTTGCTAAGCTGTTGTCAGTGTCTGCGTCACGGTCTGGCAGGAAAGGTCTTACATAGGTGCTGATCCCAGCATGAAGAAAAGTGTCAAGACAGCCCAGACTAGAAACTCCGTTAGTCTATAGTGAAGTCAAGAGAAGACAGGATTGAACAAACTTAGAACGTAGAACCCAAGGGCGTTGTGATACTCGGGAGTCGCCCCCCCGTAAGACTCAAGGACACCAAGAGACGGGCAAAGGATAACTCCATAACCGCCATAGAACACGGCTAGAAAGAAAGAGTGAGTCTTGAATTACACAGCTTCTTTTGGTCGAACTCACCATAGGCACTTAGTGCAGAATATCCAAAGGTATTGCCACGAGCCATCTCCCACTGAGCAGACACAAACATACATAGGCCAGCAGCAAGGCACAGGTTGCCTATGAAGATCGTTTGCGTCTCGACTCCACGGAAACCCATCATCGACAAAGACAGAGTTAGTAGGGTAGTTGCGAACGTGCCCATGGCTAGAGGGGACTACGAAGCATGTACTGTTAGTCCTAGATCACGATCCGGAAAAGGTGGGTGTACAAACAGGGTTGCCAATCTGGTGTCCCAGACTCACTGCCGTGGGCGCAGGGGAGTTGGAGCGGATCTCCTCAATGCTCTTAGTTGCCATTGTGTTTCCTGTTGCAATTTTGGATATCTGACTGATGGTCTATATCGAATCTTTATACTTGGCGAATCGCCCTTTTATAACCATTCCCCTTCCCCATTTCACAATCGTTTTTCGTAGGTACCTTTCTGGAGCCGCGTGTTCAACAGTTATGTAATAATTACACTTCTGCTACCACATAATCTACATATTTAAAAACGCCATCGAGACGCAGGAGTTGAAAAACTCAGACTTTGTTGACTATGGAGGAAACCGTTAGCTAATAAGTGTGCGCCGGCCCGGTCTAGTCCCCCGATTCTCCCCGGGATCATTGCGGGGTTTGGTGTTTTCATGGGGTAATAAAGTATCACGGGTTAGTTAAAAAGAATGAAAGAAAATTAAAAGAAGAGACTGTGTGGGGAAACAGGTTTGGGCTAAACCGCGAGTATCCTGTTGTGTCTTGAATCTCGATCTTTGTCTTGGTCTGGGTGACAACGGTTTCCGGGGAAGTTACCGCTGGGTTGTTCTGCCCTAATGCTTACGGTCGTTGATTAAATGGATGAATGTGCACCCGCTAGCTCAACCTGAAGAGACTTAGGAATGTGCTTTATTCTGGCAAAAATGCTTGAACAGTCAGACGGTAACCTGTCAGAGACGAAGGCAAGAATGTGGTTCCGCCCGGGATCGAACCGGGGACCTTCTCGGTGTTAACGAGATGCCATAACCAACTAGACCACGGAACCAGTCCACTTATTGCTTATGCGTGTAGGATTACTTCGTCGGGATCATATCCTTAGTGGATACCTGCAAGCTGTAGTAGGTTAGATTCTATTTGATGTTGTGGAAGTGCAAAGGCTACTTTGTTTGGAAGGGTTTCAACAGGCCATGTGATGCACCAACTATATATAACATTGCGAAGATGGCATGTCGTAACTCGTAAGTGAGGAGACATTTGCCAGTAAAATACCCTAGCATGAAGAGACGTGCGGGAAACGATAATCAAATTCGAAATTTACCAAGCATCCCTAGGGTAGCAAACCTTATCGATAACAAGAACGGTTATGACGTAGATATTCCCTCAACCTTGTGAGCTGTCAAAAGAAATGACCGCTGAGAACAGGCAAAACAAATCTATTTAACCATTTTGCAACAGTCAAGACCAACATAACGACTGCTCAATGTTGACGGTCAAAGCCCTCAAGGGCAACCGTTCCGTCACCCACCTGCCGCCCTACAGCTTGGCGATCCGAAGCAAAAACAAGGTCATGTCATTTGGGGGCCATTAATCTCATTGGTCCGAACCTGGTAGGACTACTGATTGACAATGAATGCAAGCCTCATTCGCCGTTTTTGTAATCGGGACCGACATCAATGACTTCCTGCCACCTCTTTCTGCACAGTGACATAGCATAATCTCGTCGAACATCAATCCCTTCAGCTCTCTAAAGCCCCTCTCGTGTCATCGCCCTTCTGTAAAGTATTGCCTGAACTCAAAAATCGTTGATCCGAAACCACGACCCATCATGTCGAGCTTTCGTCCCCATCCATTGCCTTTCACAAGCAAAGATCCTCGAATGCAAGACCCCAAAGGCGAAAACGTCGATGGTGGAGACACAGACCTGAATCACTTCTCAGAAGCCATCTTCTCTTGCCCCGTAGTTGTCGCTACGGAGCCGGCATACGCGCTCGCCCGACAAATCAAGAAGGCCAAGCAGAAGAGGGCCGATAAAAAGGCAGCAGAAGCCGAAAGCTCTGCTAGCAATGCTAAGAAAGAGAAGTGGTACGCAGATGATAAGGAGGAATGGAGCGACTCAGAAGACGAGCAACATATGCGTCAACGTGTTCAACGGGATGATACCTGGGCTCCTGATCTGAGTCAAACTCGGATGGAGGAACAGAAGTGGAAGGAGACGCAAAACAGGATGCGTCTTTGTACACCTGAATGCCCTGCGTATTATAAAGACAAGTGTTTAGCGCATGAGAAGAGACAGCCGCAAGAGTCCAACAGTTCTGGGACCTCGGCAAGCTGAGGACCTTTTATGGCATTCGTGCGTGAATGGAGGATGGAGTGGAACAGCCAAGGTCAAACCATCCATGTCGTTCAATTGATATTTTTAGCTTATCCAATTTCTTTAAATAAATAATCACACTATTACTGGTTGTATCATCTCAGAAGTACTTCTCGTAAACCTTGGCCGTATCCAAAGTCACTTGATCAAACGGGATCCAGTCTTGACCCGTTGCCTTGACAGCCTTGCTTCCATTAACCAAGAAGCCTCCCTTGGGTGTGCTATAATCCTGGTTATATCCTTTTCCAGGCTCACCTTCTCCAATGATGCTCTTCCTACCAGGGTACGCCTTGCGTAATAAGTCGCGATAAGCTTGAATGTTGGCATAAAGGCGATTTCCGCCCGCGATATATCGCTGGCCGTCTGCAACCTCCTTCCTTTCCACCGCAAAAGCAACAAGTCTGGCAACATCGCGCACATCAACATGCGTTCCATTTCCAGGTCCTTGAGCGGGCATATCCTGGCCATTCATGATGCGATATGTTACGATGGCTGTTTCGCTGAGCTTCTCGGGATCTTCAGGTAAGATCAATGGCGGTCCAGCGACCCAGACTGGGTTGATGGCTGTCATGGTGAAGCTGATGCTGGCAGCATGCTTTTGTCGAAACTCCCAGAATGCGCGCTCTGCTTTTAGCTTGCTTGCGATATAGATTTGATGTCCGGTCGCGTCCGCCCCAGCTTGAGAAAGCGTATCCTCAATTTGGTCGTTCCAGTCTTCTTCCGTGTAACCCTTCTCCGCATACTTTGGTGCTCTTCCTCTAACGGTCACAATAGAAGACATGTAAACAAAGGACTTGATGCTGGGCTCATCGAGGGCAGATTTCAAGATTCCGAGCGTGCCTTGTACAGAGGAATTAATGACGTAATCGATGTCTGTGTTGGAAAAGTCAACTGGAGCGGCGAGGTGGGCAATTGCTGTCGCGCCTTTGACTGCATTATCGAAGGCTCCGATGGCAGTCAAATCGGGAACCAGAAGCGTAGTAAGTTGACCCGAGGATGCATATGTAGGTAAAGCCGAAGTAATGCTTGAAGCTGAGGATTGGCTTCTAACAGCCGCACGAACAGAGTAATTGGCAGCGAGAAAGGCCTCGACGGTTCGTGCGCCGATGAAGCCATTCGCGCCAGTGACGAGTACGATACCCTTGGATGATGACATGTTGTATTGGATATTAATGGTAGGGAGAAATGTTTGGGTTGAAGCTGTTCAATGAGAGAAGCCGGGCATATTTAAATACCCCATCTAGCTATGCGATAGATTGCCATAAGTAAGGCGCGATGAATTATGAAGTAGAGATGATCAGTGGTTCGGTCTTAAGAATTAGCGACGGAGCGTCCGTTCGCGGAGTTTACGGTTATCACCGACCGTAGATATAGTGTCAGTTTAACTTTATGACGCAAGGGGAGTATATTCTCTTGGTGGTCCACTATGTAAAACCACAATTAAACTTTTATAATATCCATTGCTGACATGAACTTTCATAGTGATCATGTAGGACTCGGTGCATAGTACAAAAAGGTCAACATCGATTCCCAACAAGAGCCCGCTCGACGTTTTCGCAATGTTGAATCCCAGCTTACTCCTTGTAGAACTTCAGTGAGTTGATGGTCCAGTATGCTTCCTTGAAAGCACCAGGTTGGTTGGTAACATAGTCGTCACAGGTAGCATAGCCAGTAGAAGCTCTGCATTCCTGGTTCCAGATACCCTGGTCAATGTTGCTTCCGCAAAACGCCGTGTTGAAGATCTTCAATCGTCAGTATTTTTTAACAATCCACACGACGTTAACGATATCTTACAATAGTCTGCTTCTTGAAGTACTTTCCAACATCACAGTTGCCATTAGCATTGACAAACTGAGTTGTAGCAGGTTGAACCCAACTGTTGGGGTTAGGCCTGCCGTTCGTGATGTCGGCCGGAATGTTGTTGCGAGGGAACCACCAGATCTTCACGGCCCCTGTTGTCAGCCAAGAGACGTATACACCGCCCTTGTTGGCGTTGAAACTCTTGCCGTAGGAGCCAGAAGGCATGGTGTTGCCGCATCCGGCACTGCTTTCGTTAGCTAGATTTGTGGAACGGATGATCGATGCACATACAAGTTCTGTCCATTGGTACAGTATCGGGTATCGGAACCACCCTTGTCGCAGTTGTTTCGGGGGTCAAGACCTCCGGGACGGTTGAAGATGCACGCTCCGCAGGTGTGCAAAGAGACATAGTTGCCATTCTGGTTGGCGTTGATGCCTTCGATGATGTCGATCTCCCCAACAGGGTCCTCTGCAAAGTTGTAAGACCAGCTACATGAGTTAGCTTTCTATATCAGGATGCTTTTCAATGAGACTTACTAGGCAGGCCAAACACCACAAGCTACTCCAGGCATATGCTCGATATCGGCGATCAAAAGGTCACCCGAGGTGTAATATTCCTTCGATTCAAGACGAACGCTGCCACGTCCATGCTTAGATCCGCTGGGGTTAAGGGGACCGGCTACGTTGGCAGAGTTGACACCAAGGTGAACCTTGCCATTGTTTGTGTGGACAATGCCAGAGCTCACTGCTGCACTACGACTCAAGTAATTGACAGAGCCACCAGTTGGATCACCCTCGTAGCCAAGACCCTCGAAATAGGCGCGCTGTAATGCGTCAGTAATGCTGCTTGAAGTGCTGGCTGTTGAAAATATTTTACGTCTCTGAAGTTGAATGCGTCCAGGAAGTTGCTGGAGTCATACGTCTTCCTCAAAGTGAAGGCAGCGTTTGCCTCAGCGGCAGCGAGAAGAGCAAGAACAGTGGCTTTTAACATGGTGGAACGATCGCCTTGGGCTTGACGAGACTATGAATGGTTGTCTACCTGAGCCTCATGTTCAACTGTGTTCCTCTGAGCTTTATATACGTTTTCATCTAAAAGATGGATCAAGATATCCGCCCCTGTCATCGTAAGTGAGCTGATGATGGATCGAAACTGACTGGTGGAATCCTTCGACCCGCCCAGATCCCTGTATTCACCACTCCATGAAGAGATTTATCGTAAATCTCAGGTCCAGAATAACACCAGATAAGTACTCAATAAGGCTACATGTAAGATCCTACCCAATTATGCACTGCAATTGGGAGTTGAGCTATTTACCCGACTTGGCATGGCGTCTAGCAAGAACTGGAACCAGGATGCGGGAATCCTCCGATAATCCTTCAAAAATGAATCAGGACGGGACCTTCTACATACAGCCTAGTCGATTGGCCATAACCGCCAGATGGCCAAAAGTCTTGCCACGACACTACAGCATTTCTGTATTTTGACCACTCAAGTCGTCTCCTGTGTATATGTTCTGATGCAGGGCTGGTTGCTTCACTCATCCGATCTTCATTAGGCTCGGCCCGGCCGCCATAAATATCCTGGGCGTCCGATTATGCATATACGAGATAGACGTGCATTTGGACCTTTGGTATTCGCCTAATAAAGCGGATCGCATGTTCTGCACCATGAGGTTTCCCTCGGACTCGGAGCCAAGCAGCGAATCCGAGGGTAGTCCAAAAAGTTAAAACGTGGTTTTGCATGACACCTTTCTGGTGACTCTAGAACATATAGGTCAGTATCCTTTGAGGAGCTTAGATTGCCCCACTGAAGCAAATCATGGAGTAAGAACCTAATCGGAGGCGTTTATACAGACGAACACCTCCGAAGGGACAGCGAGGTGCCGCGATAGAGACGACAAACAGGTTGCGCGGGTTATAAAGAGCTCGAATGTGTAAGCTTGGCCGATTCAAATATCAAACCCTCTCCCAAGAACTATAGGGCGATTCTGGGTGAGATCTTCGAAGAGGTTTCTGTATGAGTCATGGGCAAGAAAACTTGGGTAATGGGCTTCTTTAATTCCCCGAAAAGTTCTAAAGCACAACAGGCCACAATATAGATCATTTAAATATCATTTCAAGTCGCTATTTAACTTTTGTTAAGATGCAGAGTTATTAGGTATGTTCTATTAGACATAACCAAGGTTCGTGAAAAATCAATTGATGCTGTTCAGAATAGAATTCAATGCGAGCTATCGATATTAAAATTGCTCCCCCTCATCAATTAATTGTAAAAAGCTCAATTTCGTTTCAAAATGTCTCTGAAAGTCACGTATTATGGGTCATTTGCGATCGCGTTGAGGAAAACCATGATGCTAAACCGCAAGTTATGACTTCACTTGTCAGCCTAAGTCAGCTCCGCCACGGTATATAGGCAGCAATCGTTTCTGGTGTCAGCCTTAGGCCCCGCTTCCTCAGCACCATATAAAAGCGCGACCTCAGATCAAGAATTACTATTAAACAACCATCTTCCTTCATCAACATCAAAATGGAATCACCTCTGGCAGGAATACAACTATCTCCTCGAGAATCCCGAGTGATTGGCGCCCTGCTAGGCGTCCATTGCGGCGACTCCCTCGGTGCAACAGTCGAGTTCAAACTCCACAGCATGATTCGAAAAAGCTATCCAAACGGTCTCCGAGACATCGTCGGCGGAGGTCCGTTCGGGTGGCCGCCCGGCCATGCAACAGACGACACAGACATGACCCGCGGTGTCTTGTTGGCCTACCATGATCGCTATCATCGCGATATTGATGAAGACATCGCTCGACTAGCTGGTGACCACTTCCTTGACTGGATGAACGGGAACTGGCCGGACAGAGAAAAGGGAAGTTCTCCCGAGGACATGGGTTGCGCTACAAGCACTGGCTTGGATAACTACGAGCAAACGAGAGATCCCGACAAATCTGGAAGCGGGCAGGGACAAGCCGGTAACGGGAGCCTGATGCGGTGCATTCCTACCGGTCTCTTCCAGACAGATCCAGAGAAAATCATCGAGGAAAGTCAGCGTATCAGCAAAATTACTCACGACGACACACGATGCACCATATCATGCGCAGCGTATAACACCATCGTTTCCAAGCTCATCAACCAAGTCCCCGTCGAGGAAGCTATCAAAGCTGGTCAAGCTGTTGCAGAAAAGCTCGAAGGCGGGGAAGGCGTTGTGTATGAGGCTATATTGCTTGGTGAAGCGCTCGATATCGCAAGACAGGCCCGAGAAGGACCGTCATCTAGACTTCGGGGTCAAGGTAGTGGCTATGTGCTGGAGAGTCTGTCCCTGGCTATTGCAGCCATCCTCGACAGCAGAAGCTTGGAAGATATAGTAGTTGATATCGTGAGCATTGGGAAGGACACAGACACAAATGCTGCGATTGCTGGTGGACTTCTGGGAGCCAGAGATGGAGCGGATGCTATTCCTCAGCGATGGAGAGCTGATTTGCAGTTTGGGGATGAGTTTGAAAAGAAGGCTTTGGATTTACTTCGACCGGAAAAGAATTAAGCAGGGAAAATGCTTCTTACTTAGTCACTCGTGTAAACTAGATAGCTAATGGTATGTGCCGTTGTCTATGGAGACAAGGTCATACAAATTGACGATTATTTCCCAGAACGGTACTACCGCCAATTTTACAGTTCCGAAGAGCTTTGGGGCCGTATCCAGAAGCATTAAAGCATGCCATCATAAGAGGAAAGGACAAGGGTCGCGGGTATTATCCTCGGAGAGCGACAAGGGATACACGTGATGCAGATTGCGGGGTTGACCCTTGGGCACAGTCTTTATCCATGTAGTCTACTTCTCCCCCAGATTTCTGGCTTTTCCGCCCGTTTCCCCAGATCATCTGCCACTTTTCCGCTGTCAACCGCCAAACAGTACTGTACCAAACTTATCTCTCCACTTCTGTCAAACAACTGTTGGCTCCAATGAACCTAGAGCGTCAGATCCTCCCGACCCCTTCTAGCAACAATGGCCATATTTCCAAGAAACGGAAAAAGAGTAATGAGAGAGTCAGAGTGACAAGGGCGTGCGATGGATGCAAGAAGTAAATGAGACAATTCGATGCAGTGAATCGAGCTCGTCGACTAAATCTTTCTAGGCGTAAGATCAAATGCAATGGCATGCAGCCATGCAAATTCTGTGTGAGAACAAGGGCTTCTTGTACCTTCAACTCAGCCTATGCACGAGGTCGTTTGCCTGTCATCCCCTCTGCAGATGAGGTGGCGGATGAGACGATAGCTGTTGCGACACAGAATACCATGCCTGGTAGTGAGCATAATAGCCCTACAGACTTGACTCATCAATACATGGCAGACTCAACCAACGGGGCGGCGCATCAAGCCGCTGAGCTACAGGACTATTCTCACCTCCTCCCATCGGGTGGAACAGGATCACGGGCTGTAACATCCGTGCAACAGTCCCCCGAGCCATCGCAAGAGGATCTTCAGGGCCATTACATTGGTCCAGCATCAGGCGTGTCCTTCCTACTTAGGGTGCAGAAGCGGTTACACCAGGCTATATCCTTTTCTGGACCGGGGAGTATCTTTACTTTTGGCGATGCACCCCTTCACAACCCTGACTATGATCCTACCTTCTGCATGATGCTTCCCAAAGAGGATGCTCAGCGCTTGGTAGATCGGTACTTTGACTTTGCCATGCCTACGTACCGATTCCTGCATCGGCCGACGATCCAGGAATGGTTTATGGAGTTTTACGAGACGATGGGTACGATGCGGGATCCGAATAATGCTGCTGCCAAGGTTGCGTTGCTTTTCATGATTCTGGCCCATGCGAGAGTCTACATGCCGGAGAATGACAGGCCAGGGCCTTCGGATCTAAGGTTGGTACCCTATCTCAGACTGTGATTCAAGCTAATGCATATATGTCGTGCAGCGCTAGATATTATCTGGCAGCTGATCATCAGCTCTCAAAGGAGAGCGGCTCCATCAGGCTGACTAGCGTGCAAGCACGGCTGCTGCAATGCTACTATCTCGGCACTCAGTCTCGAGTCAATCATTGCTGGAGTCAGTTCGGCATCGTCACAAATCTGGCTCTTGCTATTGGCCTTAACAGAAATAAACGACCCGGCGTCATAAGCGGGTTGAACCACATTGAAGTTGAGACTCGTCGAAGAACATTCTGGTGTGCTTATACACTGGATGCATACCTCAGCGTGTCTCTTGGTAGACCTCGCAACTTTCACGACGATGATATCGATACGGAGCTTCCTGCATGTGTGGATGATAACGATATAACAAAGGATCACATAAATATGAACGGGTCAGCCAAGGGCTATTCAGTCATGCTTGCGCCTCTTGGACACATGAAGTAAGACACTTTATTTACTCTGTAAATGCTCATTTGTATTGACTCATATTCAGACTTGCTCGCATCATTGGCCAGATCCTCCGCGCTCTCTACTCAGTCAAGCCTAGATCCGTCAGTCGACGCGCAGAGGAAACCCAACGCATATCCCAAGACTTGAGCGACTGGCGAGCCGAATTCTCTCAATTCCTTGACGCCGATTACTTTAGTACAACGTTCCTCGCTCCCATCGTCCAGCGGCAACGCAACGTCCTCAATCTGACCTACTGGCATGCTATCATCCTGATCCATCGACAAGCCGTCTTGAATAACTTTGCCAAGATATCAAGACAGAACAGAAGGGGCAGCGAAAATGATGCTGCCACTCAAGAAAGCGTTCAGAAATGTCTGCAGGCCGCTATGAACACTGTCGGTCTCATCGATGAGATAACGGAGCATGGTCAAATGTTCCGTGCATTTTGGGTCGGTATCGTCGTGGTAATCTGGTTCGGAACAGTCACTAACTGAATCTAGGTCACGGCATATTTCGCATTCACCGCGGCTATGGTGTTGTACATCTATGTGATTCAAAAATGGGCTTCACCACCCGAGACGTACAGCGATTACTTTACAGCAGCCACCCGATGTCAATCGCATATGTCAATCATGGTGGAGAAGGGTTCCTTGTCTGAACGATACTGCTTTTTGCTTGAAGAATTGCGCATAGAAGCGCTACGCCAGGTGAACAGAATGCACCCATCTACGAATGCATTCGGGACCACAGATGGCCATTCGCGAGAGAATGAATTTCAGTCCAATGCTATACCTATGGATACGCCGAGCGATAAGACATCTTATACGGATTTAATGGGAGAGAATGGGATGGATTATAATGGTATGTCTGGTGTTGACTTTTCCGGCTGGGGTCAATTTGCGTCCATGATCTCGTCTGGTCTGGGTAATCTTGATGTATTCTTGGATGATGAAGTGTTTAGGCTTTAGATAGCGGTTGGTACTACGAGAATTACGATGTATCTCTTGACTGCTTCCACTTCTTATCTTGATCTTGTTGCTCGGGGTAGAGAGGTGGCTAGCCTCGGTTGTGGACCGCCAATCAAGAAGCAACATGCGGATATGCCAGCCATCGGATCTAAAGCCGAGCAGCGTCGGAAAAGGTCCCCCGAGATTCCCTGCCCGGTTACAAATCCGTTGAAGATCATAAACTCTTGTGGTTGGAGCGCAAGAACCACAAATGTGCGCTAGTTTCTACGACTGTCTTCACGATTCCAAGACGATACATATTTATCTCAATCCAGCCAAACATTGAGAAACATCACATATATCCATACCACAGATTTATCCAAAATGTCATCTGCAGTATCAAAGCGCCTTGAAGACAAGACAATCCTCATCACCGGAGCCTCTTCCGGCATCGGAAAGTCCACTGCCTTCGAGTTCGCCCGCACAAGCCCCAAGAACCTGAAGCTTGTCCTCACAGCTCGTCGAATTGATACTCTGAAGCAGATCGCTGAGGAGATTGTTAAGGAAGTTGGCGATGGCGTCAAGGTGCATCCCGTTCAACTCGATGTTAGCAAACCCGAGGAAGTACGCTCTTTTGTGAGCAACCTTCCTGCCGAGTTCAGCGAGATCGATGTATTAGTCAACAATGCGTAAGTCAAATCTCGAGATCCAAGAATTTGTAACTAATAGAGTGCAGCGGTCTTGTCAAGGGTGTTGACAAAGCCCCCGAGATCAAGGAAGAGGACATTAACGTCATGTTCGCTACCAACGTCACAGGCCTGATCAACATGACACAAGCCATCTTGCCCATGATGCTCAAGCGCAACAACGGCGAAGGAGCTGGCGATATCATCAACATCGGCTCCATTGCTGGTCGGGAGCCTTACCCCGGCGGCAGCATCTACTGCGCTACCAAGGCTGCCATCCACTCTTTCACTGAAAGTCTGCGCAAGGAGCTCATTTCCAAGCGCGTCCGTGTTATCAGAATCGATCCCGGTCAAGTAGAGACTGAGTTCTCTGTTGTGAGATTCTATGGTGATAAGTCCAAGGCTGATGCTGTATATGCGTAAGTTATGAAAAGCTCTCCCTTTCTGATGCGATTGCTAACTATATGTAGTGGCTGCGAGCCTCTGACACCCGATGATATTGCCGAGGCTATTGTCTTTGCTGCTGGAAGAAGGGAGAACGTCGTCATTGCCGATACTCTGATATTCCCCAACCACCAGGCTGCAGCGACTGTTATGCACAGGAAGTCGTAAAGTCTTACATAGAGGATACAAACTATAAATTATAGACTTCACTCCTAGCGCTATCACTCTCCTATGAGCTTTTTTGAATTTAATACGTATTAGTAGGATTTCTCGTGTCTCTTACTATTGCAAAAGCTGCATGCTTATAAAGAACTATTGTCTGAATGTACTCTTGCGTAACATCGTCATGCTTTCGGACTTGGAGAAAGTTCACTTGAGGATACTCGATCAAATACATCATGAATCTCACGGCAATCACAATGTGTCAATGCGAATCCGCGTATTCAGATCTTCCGAGAACGGTCATCTGGAGGTATGACCGGCTTAGACCACATTCGGAATCAGATCTTATCCCCGGCATCCGTTAGCGGTTTGCGGGGGATCGGCAAAGTCCAACCTCACCCATCGGAAAAGCCACTTACCCAACCCCCTCACCAATTCCTTTTCCGCAATGCATGCAAACCCCCACGACTCGCTACGGAACAAGTGTCGCAGGTGACATTCACGGCAGCTTATCCATGACATGATCAACCTCCAACGGACATCATCCGGCGATGCCTGCATGAGAAAATGGGCCAACAAATAGGATTAAAACGAGCTTATCAGTGTCGATCCGGGAGTGGAGGTCGGCCTCGGGCTACGGCATTGCTGGAGCTTGCCTACTGAAGCTAAGGCGAATTACCGTTGACCTTAAGTACTCGTATCCTTCTTTGAACCTTGCTAGAGCTAGCGTAATTGCCCTACCAAACACCCTTCTCCATCATTATCTATCAACATGTCTTCGCCAAGAGCACCACCAAGCGGCGTATGGGCGCCTGCTATCACATTCTTCAACCACGACACAGATGAGCTTGATACCGAGTCGCAAGCAGCGTATTACTCGTATCTCTCCAAGACAGGTCTAGCAGGCCTCGTCGTGCTTGGTACCAATGCAGAGACATTCTTGTTGACGCGTGAAGAGCGAAAGGCATTATTGCAAACAGCTCGCAGAGCATGTGGACCGGACTTCCCCATCATGGCCGGTGTCGGTGGTCACTCAAACAAACAAGTCCTCGAGTTCATTGGCGATGCAGCTGATGCTGGGGCCAACTATGTCTTGCTCCTCCCACCTGCTTACTTCGGCAAGCAGACGACACCTGAGGTCATCAACAACTTCTTCGATGATGTTGCTGCGAGAAGTCCCCTTCCAATCGTTATCTACAACTTTCCTGTTGTCTGCAACGGTATCGACTTAGACTCTGCCACTATCGCTGCTTTAGCAAAGAAGCACAACAATATCGTTGGCGTCAAGCTCACTTGTGGAGCCGTGGCCAAGATCACAAGACTCGCGGCTGAGCTTCCTGAGGAGCGCTTCGCGATCTACGGTGGTCAGTCTGACTTCTTGATAGGAGGTTTGGCAGCTGGATCTCATGGTACCATCGCCGGTTTCGCCAACGTGGTCCCCAAGACCATCGTACACATCTATAACCTCTATCAAGAGGGCAAGTTTCAAGAAGCTATGGCTCTACACAAGAAGGCTGCGCTAGCTGAGCAACCCTGCAAGGCGGGTATTGCATCAGTCAAGTACGCCGCCACGCTAAGCACAGCCAAGGCGGCAGGCATTAAGGGTGCCGCAGATAAGCTCAAGCCAAGAAGGCCATACTTGGAGCCCACCGACGCAGCCAAGAAGAGTATTGAATCCCAAATCTCTGAGATGCTGAGCTTTGAGGCTACTCTCAAGCCGGCTGTGGAAAATGGCCACACGAACGGGATTGCGAAGGATGTGAAGAATGGGATCATCAATGGAGTCCAGAACGGTGTGGAGGTACACTAGGGATGGTTTGGCAAGATAGCATATAGCAGCAACATGAACTTGACATTTGAAACTTATACTGAGTCCTTACAGACATTAGAGAACCTGCGATGTTGAAAGTCTTACAAACATGAAGCCTTTCACCCCCAGAGGGTATGCCCACCATCAGCAACATCAGTACTCTGTGAGGTCGGTAACATAAGCATTATTTTCTAAGGCTTAGCCGGTAAAATAAAGGAGCCTAAGAGTAAGTCTAAGTTGGCATAAGATAACTAAACTGTTTCGTGTCTCACGCTTTTAGCGGTCATTTCTTCAGTCACCCTGAGGTCAGTGAGTCGCCTGTGGCTCATTCATTGACGAAACAGCGTTATAATCTAAAATCCACATGCTTAGCGGTGCGACTTGCTAAACTCCAATTCTTGTTTGGATGTATAAACGAGGCAAGGCTGCATCGTTAGATGGACTCAAGCAGAATTACTATGGTATGCAAAATATGTCGGGTATCAACTTCAATTAATTCGTAACGTCATAACCAACAAACTATCTCAATGTCCGATCATAAAAGACTTCCGTCCCCAGAAGCTCCACTAGATGTTATTCTTCTTTGGGTATCACCCTTCCTTCCTTCGGCAACTCTCCAATAGACATTTACAGGACGTGCTTGAACAATGGGGATCTGTCACCCATCTCAAACAACTCCTCCTCGGTGTACTTTCTCTTAGCCTCATCCGCAATCTTAGCCTTACGAGCATTGGCATGCTTATAGCTCATCTCCAGGAGCAAGGCAACCATAAGACCAGTTGCTCCAAAGGCCAAACTGAGACCGAAACCAGTGTAGTACTTGGGCTTCTCACTCTCGAGGTACATGAAACTACCAACGATACCACCGACGTTTCCGACACAGTTCATCAGCGCGATACCAATGGCTCGTCGAGATGAAGGCGCGATATTGTTGGCGTTCCATGAAGCGGCTGCGGCCTGGATCGGGTAAATACCAACGACGGCGAGCACGACGGCGAAGTAGGCGACACCCTTCTTGGACTCGAGTTCACCCTTGAGAGAGATGATGACTGAGTATGCGATTGTGACGATGATCATGGGAATAGCGACGAAAGGCATGCGCCAGAAGAAACGATCGGAGACCTTGGCGAAGCAAATGGCAGAGATGGCAGCGGCGACGTATGGGGGAGCAGAGGTAAGCTGAGCGTTGGTGTTGCTGAAGCCCATGGCCTTTGTGATGGATGGCAGAGTAAACTTGGTACCTGGAAGGAGTTAGCGGTGATAGTCCTAGTGATCTTTTGGGAAGACATACCGTAAGAGAGAGCAGATTGGCACAGAAGAAAGTAGGCCTGGACATAGACACGCCAGTTGGTAAGCACCATCTTGATATCCTTCCAGCGGACGGTGCTTTCCTCTTGGAAACCACCACCCTGCTTGATGAACATGGAAAGCTCAAGGAATCGAATCTCCTCGGGCTCCAACCAGCGCGAAGACAGTGCAGGTGTGTCGATGAGGAAGAAGAAGCATGCGACACCGAGAACAACGGTAACAATGCCCTCAAGAAGGAAGATCCATCGCCAACCCTCAAGGCCTGCGACACCGTCCATCTCAGCGATACCGGCAGCGAGAAGACCAGAGAAGGCACCTGACAAGGCACTGGCGCAGTAGAAGTATGAGATTCGGGTAGACAGATCCTTGGGCATGTACCAGTAACTGCAGAGGTAGATGGCACCGGGGAAGAAGCCGGCTCTGTTCCCGTATTAGCTTGTTGGGTTCTTATATCGGTGACACCTCTACTTACTCGAAGATACCGAGGAGAACTCGTGTAGCCATCAGACCACCAAAGTTTTGTACAAGTCCGGTGCAGGTCATGACAATACCCCAGCAAACAGTGAGAATGCCAAGGTACATGGAGGGTCGCTTGAACTTCTTGAGCAAGATGTTACTGGGAACTTCGAGGAGGACGTAAGGGACAAAGACTACATGGATGTTAGCACGACAGATCTTGGTTGAAGTCAGTGGGAAACATACAGATGGACAAGATGGTGTTGTACTGGACACCAGTCATGCCCAAGTCCTCAACCATGCCCTCAATCTTTGCGTTACCAATATTGGCACGATCAATGTGGCAAATCAAGTACAGCAACGCAAGCATTGGAACAAGTCGCACGTCAACCTTTCGGAAGACCTTCTTCCGCTGCTCCTCAGTGTAGCTATTGTAGAAGTCGGCATCGTCAGGGTCTAGACCAAAGACGCGGAAACCGCCGATCTCGATTGCTTCGTTGCTGTTTTCGAGGTGAGAAGGCTTGTGGTCGGCGACTTCGACGTCGCTCTTGGAAATGGAGCTTCGTTGAGCCATGATGAAGAACTTGTGACAATGGCTGTATGACAAGACAAGTCCGAAGAGGGAAGATGCTGAGTGACGAGATGATTGATCGAAAGATAAGGCTGGGTATTATACTTGATCTTCCGATCTGGAAAGGCAATGGGAGAGAAAAGCCACTGGCCAGATTAGCTTAAAAAGATGCCCCATCATGTCGTCTTTCCCCAGACAAACAAGTTAACCCCAGACTTGGCGTGGAAAGCTAACCCTGGCTAGACTACCATGAAGTGCGGGGTAGAAAGCTGGAGGTCTCATTGCACGGAAAATGAAGTTATCCTGGTCTGGAGCTTGTGCCGATCGACGGATTTGGTCTTGTACGGAAAAGCATCCAATCATATAGTTATCCGTCCATGCATCCGAACCATGCAATGCCAGCCACTCTGCAACCCCCAAAGGAAACATGTCCGTGCTTCCTTTTCCTATACATGGTTTGTGCAGGTGATACGGAAACAACTTCATGTAATACTACGCAAAGAATCACGCATGAGAGCTGTGATGGTTACATACGAGGAACCGAAAGCTACCCCGCACGTAATACAGCCATTGATGAGAGCACATCGTCTGATCTTGTCAATCTCGGGATAAATAGTCCACCATTCAAACTGTCCTGAACATGGTATCCAGCTCGACCGCCTCAACAATTTTGCAACTACACAGCAGCCATGTCTCAACGCAGTATCATCAAGGATATCGTCATTACCCCCGTGGCATTCCATGATATGCCACTGCTGAATAGCGTGGGAGTCCATGAACCTTATGCACTACGCAGCATCATCGAAATCATCACAGAAGACTCTTATGGTCTTGGAGAATCTTATGGAGACTCCGCACATCTAGATCGGTTGCAAAAAGCAGCGGATAAGATCAAGGGTCTTTCTATCTACAGCACAAACATCATCTATCAAAAGTGCGTTGAGTCTCTCCGCAATGACACCAACACAGGCGGCGATGGAATGGGCGGAATGGTCGTGACAGCCTCCGTCGCAGACAAAGTCTTTTCCCCCTTCGAAGTCGCCTGCCTCGATCTTCAAGGCAAACTAGCAGGCATATCTGTCAGCGACCTACTCGGCGGACGCATCAGAGATTCCGTCCAGTACTCTGCCTATCTCTTCTATAAATGGGCGGGTCATCCTGGTGACGCGGATGATGAATATGGCGCTGCATTAGATCCAGAAGGGGTTGTCAAGCAAGCAAGGAAGATCATTGATGAGTACGGCTTCAAGGCCATCAAGCTCAAGGGCGGTGTCTTTCCTCCTGCCGAAGAAGTCGCAGCCATCAAAGCTCTACATGAAGCGTTTCCTGACCTGCCATTGAGGCTTGATCCAAACGCTGCGTGGACAGTTGAGACTTCAAAATGGGTTGCCAAAGAGCTTGAAGGCATAGTGGAGTATTTGGAAGACCCAGCTGGTGAGATTGAGGGTATGGCAGCTGTGGCCAAGGAAGCTTCAATGCCTCTAGCTACCAACATGGCAGTCGTCGCTTTCGATCACCTCCCGCCCTCGATCCTTCAAAACGCTGTCCAGGTCATCTTATCCGACCATCACTTCTGGGGTGGTCTCCGCAAGTCGCAAACGCTAGCGTCCATCTGTGCTACATGGGGTCTTCGACTTTCCATGCACTCCAATAGCCACTTGGGTATCTCGCTTGCTGCGATGACACATCTCGCTTCTGCAACTCCCAATCTCGATTACGCCTGCGACACACATTGGCCATGGAAGCGTCGTGATGAAGACGTTGTTATCGACGGAGCCTTGAAGTGGAAGGAAGGTGGTGTGATAGTGCCGTCAGGTCCTGGTTTGGGCATCGAGTTGGATAGGGAGAGGTTAGCAAAACTTCATCAGCAATATTTGGATTGTGGGTTGAAGAAACGAGATGATACGACGTATATGAAGAGGTTCCAGCCAGAGTTCTCGGAAAGTATTCCTCGTTGGTGAGGATAGGACTTCGAGCCAGATTCATAATTATTGGCCATTGGGGACCAATTTAAACACAATAGCCGTTAATACAAGCCCTGCAGGTACCATGAATAGGACAAACACCCCAGTAAATACCATCATCAGGTACCCTATTACCGCGAGTACTAACTTGGTGTCGTTATTGCCCGGAGCATAAAACAGTCCCCAAACGGGAAACAATGAGTAAAGGCCAAGAACTACAAATGAGGCACCGGCAAAGAAACCTGTACAGAATCTACCGTTCCAAAGGTACTCGAAGTAAAGACAAGCGAAGAAAAGGAAATATGTAGATGTTGGGGTGATAAAGAAGATAAGAATGGATCCTGTCCCCAAGGCTTCTACCGCGCTATTGCTCCAGAAAGCAAGTGGTAAAAACATTAAGACAGTAGCTTCAAGGATCTGAATGCACATGAGGAAAAGCACCAGGGTGATCCATGGACAGATCTTTGTATCGTAATAGTTTCTTCTTAGGCAGTGGAGCAGATGCTGCCGGAAACGACGTATTTCTAAGGTCTCATTAGGATGCTCGGGGTCGTCAATACTCACCGCATCAACGTTTGCGGAACTTTGCTCCAAGAGTATGTTTGACCCAGTCATATCGGACGGCGGGCTATTGTCCTGCTCATCGAATGCTCCCTTGACTGCAATACCGACAGGCCAGATGAGAAGAAAGGCTGGAAGGACTTGACCAAACGTCCATTCATTCTCATCAACCGTCACGCTGGACTTGGTGATGAAGAACTTGGTTGTGCCCCAGGCTGCAGTGACAAGCAACCAATGAAGCTATTCTCAATTTTCAGCAATATTCCATAAACTGAAGCATAGGCATTCTCACATCAGACAATGTCGAGACAACAAGATCACAATATAGCCGAAAGACTAGGATGGCCGCCACCTGGCTGTAAAGTAGAGCCCGACGCACTTTTATTGTTCTTAACCAGGTGATCTCTGTACCACGATTGGCCAGCATCCTAATCCTTCTCGCGCTCATGGCATCGACTTTTCTTCGTAGCAGTTGGAATGGGGCCGAGAGGGGCGAATGAAACTTGATTGTTCGGCTGACGTGGCTCAGAACCAACAGAACGATTGACACGATGCCAGACTGAAAGGCGTTCGACTGAGAGAACTGGACAGACATATACCCTTCCCTCGACTTTTCATGCCAAGCAACTGATCTGGAAGGGTTATAGAGGCAGATAGCATCTGTCCCAGGAAGACTTGCAGTACCTTCATCTAGATGTGGCCAGTTGAAGGATAAAGTCGGCCCCATTGCGATTAGTAGAATGAAGGCCAGTATGATTATACAAAGGATGCGAATGAACTTCTCTGTCGGTCGAGTATGAAAGTAGTTTCGTAGAACGGTGAGACCACATATATGCGTCAGATTGGAGAACCACGCTAGATGTGTGACAAGAATGAAGTGGTAGGCTGATATACCCTTGGGAAGGTCGATAAAACCGCTGATGAGGATACCGAGACCAGTCACAAATTGGATATCACACATACCCAAGATTGACTGCGACGATAGTCAATCAGTATGAAAGGAGTTCACGGGAATCAAAAGTTTACCATTTCTAGGCCGTTGGACCAGCCCGATCCAATGTTCAGGTACTCGAAACACTTTCTTACTGTGCTCTTGACCAAGAGATCGATTGGATTCGCTCGCCACAGTTCATCGGCCTCACCAAAGTTGTTTCCGTCGCTACTATGGAGTGGATCCTCGTAAAGGTCGAAGACGAAGAGATAGTGCAGTAGAACGAATATGACGGCAAGCCAGCCGGTGCCCAAGAAGCCAACGATGACCTATTTCACTTCTGATTAGTTCAGCTCTATCTGGACGAAAGTGGCATAATGATATTGGCTGTTAAACATACACCGGGTCCCGCTATATCACCGTATGGCTCAACCTTATCACCACGAGCGGCAAAGGAGCAGTTGTATCCCATTTTACGATATTTGCATCTCGACAGGAGGCGATTAATTCTTTATGGGTTTGGTCTAAAGGAGAAGATGTTATTTTATGCAAAGGTACTGTCAGCAGAACCTGATTCTTGCCGGCCGAAAGTCACGCATTCTTCCCAGCCAATTAATTCGAGGCCCGGGGCTGCCAGCCTGATTTCGCTGCGCCTGATCGGAACTACTATAACCCACCCTTGTACAAGAGAACTCCATGTTAGTGGTTGCGACGTCTCCTTCAATAGGGTTGGTCGGAATTCGAGAGGTGATTGTGTTCATAGGTTTGTGTCGGCTCAATGTGCCCGCATCCAACTGCGGATAGCTTACACAAATCCTGGTCAAACATTATCCGTGTCCAAAATTCGTCCTACCAATCACCATTTATCAGTATCATACCTAGAGTTTGCGCGCGCCTCGGAGGTTGTTACTATGAAGGATTTCATGTTTGCTGACCACCAAGAGGGTCAGCTTATGTGAGCGGTTACTTGGCTGGCTGAGAGATCTCGATAAAAGGCACCTACATTCCCGATCCCGAGCGTTTCAAGTTCCAAGGTTTACTGTGATTTCTTCTACTCTGTTACCTACCTACCCTTAACAAAAATGACTAAGAGCCAGACCACCACGTCTACGGACATCAGAAAGACTATTGAAGCAACAATCAACAGCTTCCTGTCCTCCTATGAGGATGGAAGAGAGCAGGGAAACATCTCGCTAATCAATCGCGACGTCACTGCAGATTGTACACGTCAATTGCTTCCCATCTCGCTCTGCAAAACTCTTGGCGCTCCAGAGACCTTCCTCATGCCCAACGATATGTACGAGCAGCTCTTCGCTGATGATCTCACCATTGGCGGTGTCTACAACACTGTCAATAAGCACATGGCGATCGACACCGAAGCTCGAATGGCGGCAGTCAATAGCACATCTGACTTCAAATTCAAGGACGGGGAGGCACTGACGATGGAGTTCTCGTGGACTTTCTATCTGAACGAGGACGGCACCAAGATCAGCAAGGTCATAGAGTTTGCGGATGCCTCCGCAGTCCAGCACTTGGCGGCCAAAGCGCAGGAGCTCAAGGCGAGACAGGGGAGTAGTGATGGTGCCAAGATGAACCAAGAGGTGGATTTCACAGAGACTGGGTGATCAGTTTGGGGCGGTGACAGATGATATACACGTTTGATGGGAACTTTTTGGAGCAATCATCTTGATCTAATCGTGCGAGGAGCATTGTCAAAACTAGTGAGTAGCAAAGGTTGTGGCAATTTCGGTATCGCATTACGTGTCGACATTGTCAGAGCGGCAGACTGATATTGCAAGTAAATGGGACTGTCTTTCTCGTCAAATTGGCTTTATTGCCGGCAATTTCCAGTTTCGTATATGACGTCTTTTCGAAGGTCCCTGCGGAAAGGTCGGAATAGTTGCACCAGCGATTTGAGACCTACCCTTGAGCAACAACGGAAACCATCGCTATCGCTTCTCAGCATAGTAAGAAGTACCAACATAGTTTAATATTAAGGAGCGCGTATTTTTGGTTATAATGCATATTCATATAAATTGGAAGACCACGCGCTGCGCGGACTATAAAAATGCACGTCCATTACTTTGAAAGTATGCTTATACCTTCCGCCTTGATTTTCACGTGTAAGGGATAAACAAAAAAGGGTTACGGAGTTATCCGTGATCTTCAAACATGGTTTCATGTTAAAACGGAGAATTATTATATGACAGTCTGAGCGCAACAAGCATTTGATCCACTGTGAACGTGTCATTCCCAGGGTGAAGCTTATCATCCAACCGTCTTAGCATGTGATGAGCAGCTACTACGTTCTTATCAAGATTCGTCATTTCGCATGCGAGATAAGAGACCTGAAAGGTTGCGTTTCAACGACCACGATCCTTGGCAGCGCCACCAAACACTAGACACGTTTGAGAACGATCTTCAAACATAGCTTTCAATAAAATTCGATACGAGCTAGGACCGCAATCTATTCCTCACTATCTTTTAATTGAGGCTCATCTACTCACGCATTGATTGGTTGGGCTCATTGACAGGGTACCTTTGTGCTTAAGCCTCATAGCGCGAGTCAGGCGCTATTATGAGCACTGCCGGTGCAGCGGAGCCTCATCAGGGATACTTCATTGGCTCACCGCTGATCTTCAAGGCGATCGCCAAGGGGGCGCCACAGTCTATCTTTATTATTTGGATCGTGTAGTCTTGTATAGAACCTCTTTGGCTGTAGATGCCCAAAGGTATCCTGGTCAGCGGAGTGCCGGCGCAGCTCATCACTTACCCGCCGCTACCGGGCTTGCGTGTCAGCTTAGACAAAATGAAGATCGAGTCACTGCGCCTGTTAGAGATACGTGTAATTACAAAAGCAATGGTGTCGAGTCTGTGAATGTCTTATCGCCTCCTTTCTACCGATCTAGTATTTATAGATCCCGCCAAGCCGTCGAATTGTGCTGTCTCTGTGAATCAAGCTCATTATACCAGATTATCTTCTGTGCCAGATCTCTCCATATCTTGCCGTCACTAAAGAGTCCTGAACCCCATTATTACTCCAGTATACTCATCGCATTCGGACCGACCCCAGAGCTGTCACGATGGAACATCCCTCCTGTCGGGGCGCGGCCCCAGTGGATCCTAGTATGGACCGCGATAGCTTCATCCTCGATAACATGAATGAGAACCGAAGATCATACCTCGACCCTATCCAACAAGATGCCGTCACAGATGTCGAATCAGGCACAACAACACCATCAGCCAGTATCCGAAAACAACAAGATCTATCTTACGATATCTACGATCCCAATCGGCCGAAGCTCAAGTTACGCCAACGTCTGAAGCATTTCACCTGGGCCTGGTATACTCTTCCGATGAGCACCGGTGGTCTATCCCTACTGCTATACTCCCAACCACATCAATTTCCTGGTCTGAAACAAATCGGTCTTGCCATCTACATTATAAACTTATTGATCTTCACTTCCGTCAGCACCGCCATGGTGTCTCGCTTCTTACTACACCAAGGAACCTTCGTCAAGTCATTGACACATCCTCGCGAAGGCTTCTTTGTGCCTACTTGTCTCTTGTCAATAGCCACCATCATCACCAGCACCGACCGTTATGCGATCGCTAAAGATAACGCTAACCTTGTCTGGGCGGTGCAAGCCTCCTTTTGGGGCTACGTGGTGGTCACTCTGCTTCTAGCTATTGGGCAATACAGCTATGTCTTTGCAGCCCACAGCTTCTCACTGTCGACGATGATGCCTACTTGGATCCTTCCCATCTTCCCCATTATGCTTTCAGGCACCATCGCGTCTGTCATTGCAGAGACTCAACCCAACCTCGATGCGTTGGCGATCATTGGCGCAGGACTCACCTGTCAAGGTCTCGGGCTTAGCGTTGCCGTTATGATGTACGCACACATGATCGGACGTTTGATGCAAGCAGGTCTACCAAACCGAGAGCATCGTCCAGGTCTCTTCATGTGTGTCGGACCACCTGCCTTTACCGCCCTGGCCTTGATCGGTATGGCAAACGGTATGCCTTCAGACTGGGACATTCTGCAAGGCAACAGTGTCGGCGCATTGGCTATTATTAAGTTGATTGCTATCATGAGTGCTATCTTCTTGTGGGCTCTTAGTCTCTGGTGGTTTGGTATCGCTTTAGTCGCTGTTCTCCGATCGCCGCCAAAATACTTCCATCTCGGTTGGTGGGCGATGATCTTCCCCAACACAGGCTTCACTCTGGCCACCATCTCTATTGCAAAAGCTCTTGAAAGCCCTGCCATCGGCTGGGTGGCCACTGGTATGAGCATCGTTATCATCTGTGTTTTTATCTTCGTTTTTGTTAGTCATGTGAAGGCTGTCATCACTCAGGACATCATGTACCCCGGGCGAGATGAGGATGTCGAGGACCATTGAGGGATTGAGAAGTGATGCATAGAGTGGCGTTTAAAATTGCTTTAGATATCTTGGGACCGGACGTTGTCGCTTAATATATTTACTCACACTTCGTTTATTCATCCACTATCATCTCAACTGAACACGGTCTCATAATGTGACAGCCGTACCCTTGGATCAACGCGGGACATGCAATCGGGACCTGGAATCCGGAAATTCCGTTTGAGTAGCATTGAGATAAACGATCTGGGTTCAGTTGCGGCCCACTTCCGGAGACCATCTTAAAACAGAACGCTCGCCCGAGCAGATGGGGTAACTGCTCCATTCTGTGTTCAAGACAGTTTAGCCTGGTGAGATTTGTATGCATTTATGTAGTTAAGGCTGACAATTTTCCCCTTGGCCAGCCATACGGATCAATTGTAGCATATCATGGGAGCTACAGGGCTAGAATATCGACCAATGTTTTTGATTCTTGGCGTAAGCAGCATTGTGGGCAGTGAAGAGTGACTCCATTCTTCACGAGTATAAAGACAATCGTTGGCAAGGTGTCCCATGACAAGAGTTCAAACATCTAGCAAAATAACAAAAGCCGCAAACATGTCTGATACAAGCGAAACTCTTCCGATCCTTCCAGCTGAGCTGACTCCTGAATGGTTCAGCGCCAAACTGGGCCACAAGATCAAGTCCGTCGAGAACACGTGCAACATCTGGGGTACAGCCAGTAAGCTCTTTTACACCATTACATACGAAGATGAAAGCAGCGAAGATAGACCGACCAACATTTGTGTTAAGGGCGTATTCGATCCCAACATGATTGAGGCTCAACCATGGACAGTCAGTTTGGCCCAGCGCGAGGCAGAGTTCTTCTCCAAGGTGGCTCCTACTATCAACAACATGATCTTTCCCAAAGGCTGGTGGAGCGGAACAAGCGAGAAGCAGGGTATTGCCATCATGAACGATCTTGTTAACGAGGGGTGCACTTTTCCTGCCGAGGTAGCTGCTTATTCCGTTGACAAGGTCAAGAATGGTGTCGAGCAGTTGGCGGGACTTCATGCGCAGTATTGGGGACAGAGCCAGGACGATCACCCTTGTAAGCATTCTCAAGCTCCGTTCCACATCTTCGTCTAACAAGTAATAGGGATCTGGAACAATTACGATCCTGCCATGACCTTCATGTGCAGGTCCTGGGATGAAGTAGTCCGACGACCCGGCCGTCCTCAACTACCAGAATACCTTATGGATGGAACTCGTTGCAACGAAGCTCTGGACCGCTACTACGCCGAGCGCAACCCTCGATTCAGAACCCTTCTTCACGGCGACACTCACATTGGCAACATTTACTTTACCGCCGACGACCGCATCGGGTTCTTGGACTGGTCTGCCTTTCACTTTGGCTCATGTTTCCACGACGTGGTGTACCACATGACAGCCATGCTCAGCGTTGAAGATCGTCGGGCTCACGAGATGGAAATTCTGGATCACTATCTTGAGACCTTGCATCGTCTTGGCGGTCCCAAGTTCGATCGGCACAACGATCCGGAAGTCATGATTGAGTATCGAAGGTCTTTTATGACCAATGTTATCTGGTTGATCTGTCCGGATGGTCTGCAGAGTAAGGAGCGGGTTGCGACTTTGTGTGAGAGGACTGTTGCTACTTATGATGATCACAAGGTCATTGATGTGATTCTGGATCAGCCTAGGCCAACTGCCTAGATGTCCAGTGGTAATTAAAGAGTGTTTTAAATAAGGATCGCAAGCTTGATGAGTCTGTATCACAAGATGGAGTTCCATCAGAGTTTCTGTTTAAAAATAGATTAGGCATAATGAGTTGCCCACTCAAATAATGAGATATGGCATACATCGATGTGACACTGAACAAAACCATTCATAAATTAAAACATGCAGACATCTCTAATAAGCGTCATTCATATCTAATCATGTCGCCGATAAATTGGATGCACGACGTGATCATTACGTGCTGTCCAGCCTTCCCACACTCATTCCAGACACAGATGACGTGCACGATGACACAGGCAACCAGATGAATCACCAGCAAGTTCATGACGTTCATGATTCCTGGGAATTATATAACGCCAATCTATACGACTAACTAAATCTTCCATTTTGTTCCACGTTATCAGAATAATTGATCGTCAAGAAATATGCGTAACTCTAGATCCATTCTCAACCTCGTCAGGGTTCAATCCCTCGCCCCAAGACAATTCTCCACACAACCAGCGATGCGACAAATCGAGCGTGGTAGAGACGACAACGTCTCACATGCGACCGGCCCTTCCAAGGTCCCCGAGAGTGTGCAAGAAGCTGTTCCCAAGAGTGTAGAGGACGCCCTGCCTGAGTCTGTGAGTTTACTCGCCACCAAGAACTATTGAAGGCGAGACTAACAGGACAAGATCCATCCTACCAGCAAGAACCCTAAGAAATCGACCGACAAGTCGCACGCCAAGAATGATGGCGAGGAATCTATTGTGCCGAAGAAGGTTCAAGAGAAGTTGCCGGAGGAGGTAGAGAGAGCTGTTCCCAATGCTATTCATGATACGGGAGATGCACCAGTTACGGGTAAGAAGGAATAGAAATATGATAGTAATAGGTCCTTGCCAGGAACATCTTGTTAAATTATCTTCGTAATCATCATGATACTAGCTTACGTCGTTACAAACGCCTAATGTACATCTTCGTTAAACTGTGCCACCCGGACTTCGCTCTCAAGTATCTGTGTTAGTGCAATGGAAATATCTTCGTCTATCAAGTATCTCCCTCGTCATCTTGTTCAATCTGATTCCTCATCCTCCGAAATCTTGGCTCAAACACATAAGTCCAATACCAATACTTCTGCACAGAAATCTCTGCCATCGTCTCCAAAAAGTCTTTGGTTCCATTGAAAGGATAGAACGTAAAATTCCAAGCCGTCCAAACCACGATTACGGATTCCAACTTTTGGAAAGCCTCCATACTACCGTATGTCTCTTGCACAAGGTTATCCAGCTCCTGACGCTGCGACTCATTTCGTTCTTCATATGTCGAGAAGAAGTAGTCCTTTGCTGGTTGAATGTGCTCTGGACCAAGGAGGAGGACGGATGCGCTTGCCTCGTCATGGCTACCGCCGCCCGATAACGATATGCAGTGTAATTCTTCTATCACGGGCCAGTCAAGCATGTTGCCGGCGTGTGCTTGGGGCTCGCTCTCGAGGAGCAGAGGAATCGGATTTCCATCGAGAAAGTCTACATGTTCCCACTTAACTTCTGCAGCACTGGATAGGTAGTGTACCGCACACTGACCATCCCAAATCGCTTCGAGTCCGTTCGTTGCGCTCAAGAACTCTTTGTACTCGCCAGGCAGAGTTGTCTTTAGTCGTTTCTCCAAGGCCTTGATTTTAGAAGGCGAACATCCCGGACGGAGGAGGCCGTCAGGGTTGTCGGGTCTGAGTCGAAGGTTATCGTTCGGACGATAGACATCTAGATCATCGTAAGGGCAATTTTCGAAAGTATTCTTGCTGATAATGTGAACGAGCTCCTGTATGCTCTTTTTCGCGTACCGACGTCTTGGTCCGTTGTCTAGTCGGTGTTCAGCCATCTGCACAGCGCGAGAAACAGCTGGGCGGACTTTGGCGGGGTGGATGTTGAGCATTTCAAGCATGGGCTGCTGAGGCATAAGAATGACTTTGCTCCATACCCGGCGAGAACAAGCAAGTTGTTCGATCATCTCGTAAGCGTTGATCCGTTCGCATATGTTGTCCATTAACTCTCGAGACTCGGTGTCTTGGTTCAGTCGGAGATATATATCGAGGGCGATCATCAAGCCCGCCGTGCGGTAGAGTTGCAAGTAGAGATACTGAAAAATCCCATGGCGCCACCACATGGCTATCTTCATGTACCTGACCGCCATGGGCCCATTTGGACTTGCAGAGTATGAGAACTCTCCTTCCGCGTGGAGCTTTTCCGCCATAAAGACTTGTCCTGCAAGAGTTCCATTCCAGTCTGGAAGATCTGTTGTCAAGCCGTTGTAGGCCATATCGAGAGCCTTCACGGCGGTTTCTTCCGTGACTTCCCATTCCTCGCTGAACCGCTCGAGCCAGGGCTTGCGAGCTTCGTCTTCTAACTCAAGAAGCTTTTCTTCGGTGCGCTCATCTTGCGGGATCCAGGAGGGCCAGGATGATGTTGCGTCCCATGCAAAATACATGCAAGGCTTCAAAAATGGATACTCGCATTTGCAATGTTCGAAAAGGTCAACGCCTCTGTTGACAAGGGTCTCTAAGAGTCTTGTAGCGCCATCAATCTCGCCAATGATGGCGAAATTCACGGCTGTTCTGGCGATGCCGTCGATGACTTCTGCTAGGGAGCGATAGTCCGCGATTGAGGGTTCATAGTCAACATGGCGAAGAAGGTACTCGAGCCTGTGCTTCGTCGGATCGAAATTCTTTTTGTTCATGGTAACTGGAGTCTCTTGTATGTAGGTAGTCTCAAGAACCGAAGCGCGAAAATTCACGATGGAGTAAATTATTCTCCTTGGCAACAACGACCTAGCTACGTGACGTCATTAGTAAGCTGACAGAGTTGCTTGCCCGTCCGAATGGATGACCTCGTCGATGAAACATGGCGAGATAATTACCTTAGAGTCATCGATCATGAGCAGTTTATTCTAAGTTAAATTCAGGTTCATATAAACCGGCTGCGTCGGTGCGGGCGCTCTTTATTCATCATCTGTGCATTCGACAATTACACATAGAGGTTTACACCCGACGATAGACAGGACAGGGTGGCCTGCAATGCCCACTAAACAAGCGCTATCAACCCATCTGCAGATCCCCCTAAAGAGCAGATTCCCCCACTGGACGGCGCGCTATGTCACCTGTGGAGTGCTAGAAATTAGCGACACAACACCACTGGAGCAGTCCCTACATTAAGACCTTACTGTAGGTTGTTATTGCCAGTGGCAGGCAGCTGTCAACGAGAACATTTTATCACCAGCTTTGCATTATTTTATCCACAAACAATTGCTCCTGCATGCTGAGGTGGCCGCGCGTTGCTGCCCAGTATCTTTCTTCTTGAATTGAGGCTGGGCCAACGGTCGTGTGCACAGTTTTTACTTGAATCCTCACAACACCTGCCACAAGGTGCAATGGCCTCTAGCCCGGCTCTTTCCCTTTCCACCTTCGTTGAGGCTTAATTTTCCTGTCTCTCAATCGACACCTTACTTGCGACTTAGTCTCCATTGAAATTCTTCATCGCAGCTCCTTCCTCGCCTCGATTTGCCCGAGCACTGCGCAAACATTCCTCGTCATTATCGTCTGCGTACGCCTTATCACGGTATCCGCGTCCAGTCTGTATCTACACGTGGTTTATCACGCGGTATGACCGTCAGATCAGCCCTGACGATTCCACCACTGTCCTCATCGTCAAAGAATTCAGAACAAGGACGATGAACGGCGATTCACCCTTGGAGGTGGTGTCGATCGATGAATTCCGTGCCAGATGCTTACAAATAGGTGTTGGTCCCGACATACTTGCGCAGATAGATGCCGTTTTCACACCCCAGAAACCTCCACCTACATTCGACTCGAATCGCAAGCGAGCTGAAGATGTCCCAATCGCACAACAACCAGCAAAGCGACAAAACAACGACGTCACATCTTCCAACTGCCAGGTCTCTCTTGAACCACGATCAGAAGCCTCGCAGGAGCTAGCTCAACCTCAAAGCGTTCAATCACATGTATGTCATCTAGCAAACCTTTACTGAGGCTGATAGTTTGGGCTGGCAAGGAGCTTACAGCTAACGAGTATCTTCTATCACAGCAGGTGGCCGATAGTAGCGACCAGGATGTGGAAAGGTTCAAGGGCCGTGTTGCCGAGTGCAAGTCTGTATTACAGGAACTTGAGGCAGAACATGAATTGCTATCTCGAAACAGAGGCTCTGAGGTCGTCGAAAAGCTGAAGAAGACTCTTGACAATACTACCAAGGCGCACGACGAGATAATCTCGAAGATAGAAAGAAACAAAAATATCATCGACCAGACATCCCAGATAATCAATGACAATCATGACATGATACCAGCGCCGCTACGCCAATCTTTGAAGATAAGCCGGGAAAGTCACAGTCAGCTCGTGCGCCACAGTCGCATTCTTGAAAAACGTCAGGCCGAACAGAAGCAAGAGCTGGAAAATGCTCAGGGCAAATACAACGAAGCCACTGCTGAGCTTGAGGCTTTGAGTCAGAGGATCTCGCAATCGAAGCTTAACCTGGATTGTGCTGAACAGAACCTCAAACGCGTCGCTCTGCGTAGCAGGCTCAGCGATTTTAGTCGCATCAATGTATTCGCCCTAACCAACGATCAAAGCTCCCAGTTAGCCAGTCTTACAGGTCAGATGGAGGCACTACTCAATGAAAGTTCCTACGCATCGAGCCCTTGAACTGAGAGGCATAGTGAGGAAAGGGATACTGTTGTCCAGTCAGATGGAGGTCAAATAGGTAGAATGGATCTATGAGTGCCAGCCGTTCAATTATGATGCGTCGAATCTCTACTTCATTGTTGCAAACTTGTACCTTGATATGCCGTGACACTTATTCGATCTCTCTGTTATTTCTTTATTTCTAGATGCGTGCATCAAAGCCTAGGCAATCACCGTAAGCACATCTCGAAAGTGCCATGAGGGGAGACCTCCCGCAGGTAGATTATCATTAGGTACGACTTCTGGTGACCCATCTTGGGTCTTCTTGACATGCAACCTCCATATTTGTAACCCCGCCAGGTCAATAACGGATAAATAGGGACTTGGAGCAGGCCGGAAGAAGGCATCAAAGCAGTCTCGAGTCTACTTTGAAAGAAAAATCCGGAATGACTGTAGACCGCTCACTTCCCTCCTGTAACTTATTCCAGTACCGCATTTGAGACTTGCACACCTAGCGCTGAATGGAATTCACTAATCCCGGTTACCTGGTTTATAGACTTTCTGTATGCGATCAGATAAGGTTTTCGGCGATAGTTACACTTTTCACGGGGCATTATGACTCCTTTGCCCACACATGAGCTTTCCGTATGCGTTTCTTCCAATAACCAGGAGATAGAAGGCATAATTCCTGAGAGTCAGCTTACTACTATTCTTAAGATCACTCCCTGGGGATGGAAAACAAGTATGAAAAGTATAGTTGATATTAAAGGATTGCGCTAGCTAAGTAAACTTTATAAAAGGAATGGTTGACTTCGCTTTCAATATCTCTCAAACTATTATACCTCACTCCAGATTCGACACCTTCTCGCACAACCTCTTGCCCATTGTTACCATTTCTCAGACCCTGAGTAGTGATAGTTGTGGAAGGTTGTCAAATGACAAACTCTCCTCAAAACAATTCCAAAGACATCCACACAGATTGTTCCTCGAAGAGTTTAATCATAGACTTAGACGCCGGGGAGACCAGGAGTGCCGCCAGCGCCGCCAGTGGAGGGAAGCTTCTCGGGAACCAGATTGCCAGCGTTTTCACCGATAGTTTCCTCGTCTTCTCCGAGCTGCTCTCCTAGCTGACCTACGTCACCGGTCAGCTGTCCGTCGATGGCATCGCCATTGGTCTCGACAAGGTCGCCCTCTCCAGTGAGGCCCGCAGCGTTCAGAACATCAGCAGCACCGTTGGCGAGCTTGTCGAGCTGTCGCTTTGCCATTCTGAACTTGCGGCCTCCTGGGGGAGGAGGAGGGGGTGGGCCGCCACTGCTGCTACCACCGTTGCCGCCGCCGTTGTTCAGTCCAGGCTCATCTGGCTCCTGAGCGTCACCGCCCAGGAGATGAGAAACGTGGATCAAAGCATTCTCGCCAGCGTAGCCGACAGCGTTGTCAAAGTCGCTGATGAGGGGATCCGCAGCTTGGCCCTCACCACCAAGCTGGCGCGAGTTGAGAACTGGAGCACTGAGGGCGCCGGTGGCAGCGAGGAGGATAAGAAACTTGGTGAGTTGAGTCATTGTTGTTGATTGAAATTGTTTGTTGTCTTTGGAGGTTGTTTGAATTTGTCAAAGGTGATTGTTATGGTTGATAGATATGATGAGTAGGCAAGGCAGTTGATTTCAGGGTCTGATTGGAATCTTGACTGTTGTTGTCTGTCTGTTGAGGAAAGAAGTTCTCATCAAACGGGAAGGACTGTTTCCTTTTATCTTTGGAATCGATGCTGATCGTTGCTTCTTCGATGAGGTTGATTTTTCATAGTCACCGAAGCATTGATTCTCGTCATTCACATGTTGGGTGAGTATCTCAGCCATGTTCGTCACAACCAACGACCTAAGTTTACAAACTTTGAGGGATTTGATACCGCACTAGACAATAGTAGATGGGCATAGAAGACATGACGTCAAAAAGCTGAATACGATGAGGCTCAACATCTGAGTGTAGGAGCTGAATCTCCCCCAGCCAGGGGTCGTTAAGCGCGTCATGCTAGGTGGTATTACTAGGGGACCGGAGATGCAAACTTCATATCAGATGGTCAGCAGAATCGTAAGTGGCTTCAGGTGATTTCGGTTTCGATTACATCAAGAACGGCTTAACCGATCATGCACGGTATGGGAGTCTACCGCCTCGGCTCAGCTTTCTTTACAGTTGTGCCTAGAAACAACGGCTATCAGGACCATGACGTTAAGCTTGACGAAGCCCAGGGGTCGCCAAACAGCTGCAGAGCTGAAGCCTTGTACGTAGGCAGTTGACTCTACCGTTTAGATATTACTCAACGGCTTGCATTAGATTAGCCGAACGTTGAGGGTTGGAAATGCTTCGTCAATTATTAACCACTAAAACGCTGGGCATCCAAATACGGAACGTTCCATAAGGTTTCGGTTGGAGCCACCTACGACAACGGGCAGGTCCCTGACAATCAACGATTATCATTGACTGGCCTGGAGCCGTGATTTCCGAAAGGGTCCAACCTTTGGTTCAAGTGGCTTTTGACCAAACCATTAAGGAAAGCCACTTTGTCGATCCCCTTCGTCACCAAAGCCAAAATAGGGGTCTTTAGGGTTGTAATTCGGCGCTGGTAGCGGGGATGCGCTAAAATGCCGAGCAGCCGTGGTCCCGAGATCTTGGTCAGAAACCTTGAACTGTAAAACTCTCAAGCAGCTCTTTTTAGTACTCTCCGACGTAATGCTGCTTCCCAGCTACCCGGTTCTTCAACCCGTCTCGGTTCAAACGGCACAGGATGAGCCGTTCAAAATAACGGTACCCAAAAGCTAATAAACATTTGAGTGTTTTCTCTCATGCTTAAAAGCGGGAGATAATCATCAAAGACTTTCGATCCATCGACGATCAAAGGATCATCTGGATCGGCATCATTGATTGGTCTCCCACCGGCTGTCATCTCGGCCGAGTCTGACAGACCTGAAGATCAGCGCGTTGAGCGTGACGTAGAGACGTTTGTTGACTTGAGTTTGTTGTTAGCTTAACTGGACTACGTCTGTAGCCTTCGTAAAAATTGGCAAGGTGTATTCTCTTTGGGAAATTCTATGCGCAACATGTTCACGGACCTCCTTCTTCATCATCTCCTCCAAGGGTCCTACGTGCAACACAGCATCATTGTCGCATCATTACCCGTCGCTTCTGTAAATTGAAAGGGTCCATCCCAAAGACGTATTCACATGCAAGACCACTTCCGTCACAATAAAACTCTGGGCACCGGTCTGGTAGATGCATTCCTCAAGGTGCTCTTTTCTCGGTGATGGTAAATAGACAGCTGAGAGTAGGTTACAGTTGACGTAAGTTTAAAGACAAAGGTGTTGAATGTCATCAATGTCACTCGGCCGATAGGAATTCTCCGTTTACTGTTGAGGATATTGACAAGGAAAGTTCTAGTAGCCAGCTGAACAAATCATCAACATTACCTTGCCTCACATCTCAATGACTGCTTACCATGTGTTGAGGCTTAGTTATGACAGTGTCCCCTGCTCTATGTTACGGAAACGATGACCAGTCCGAAGCACGATATACAATGGCTTCAGTTCTGCAAGCCTATTCATCAATATCTTGACGATCTTCAACCTCGACTCTAGTGGTTAACTGATCCCGATGTTCGCCGAATACTATTCTCGGCTTGTTTGTTCAGCTCGGCGCCGTCGGCTAACAGCACTGCTGATCTCCTCAAAGCAATCTCAGCTAGCCAGGTTGGAGTGCCAATGGGTTAGGTGAGTTGTTATTCGCTAGCTATTGGTGCGTTTTGGGAGGTTCTAGTTAAGCAAGCCTCTTGCGTACTGTTCTGCTCCTGCAATGAGTGGCTGGACCAGATGAATAGAAATTCCGGACCAACACTTGTTTCAGCTTTCTGCTACATGTGACGAGTTTCGAAAGCTCGTGTTATCGCTAGTTTGTAGGATGAACACAAGATGGTTCTTTCCCGGAATAACTTGCGAACCCTCAAAACAGCATGGACAGGTCGACGTTCCGTCAACATGTTCACCTGTCTGTACCGGACCCTTTATATATTTATGCAGATTGAAACGACTGTAGTCTTACCTCTTGAAGAAGCAGTTTTGTGAAAATGAACGAGGTTGGTCAGCCAGGGATTACGATGGTATCAAGGATAGATTCAGGGTCAAGTTATCTTATGGCGTCATTTTCAACTCTGCAAACTGGGAATAGTCGCCAATACGTGACCCTGGAACGCTTCATTGTTGAGGTGATTGGTTTTACAATGTCTTATATTTGAGACAGAGGCTGGATCTACGGAAGACCACAATTTAAATGAAAATGAAGTTTAAACTGTAGTGTAAATGTGCGAGTATTTGATTCGGTAATTCCTGGAATCCGGTGAAACAAGTCGCGTTCCGTGTCTTGATCTAACTCAAACGCGTCTATCCGTGACCAGAAGGTATATAAATGAGCGTGTTCGTCATCAACTTGACATTGTATACCATCAAAGTTCTTCTCCAAACAAAAAGAAGGACGTCAGCCTTTTCACATCGTCTCTTTATATACCTCAGACGCGTCTGTGACATCGTTTCGTTATCAGCCCAAGAGCACATCAATCGACCAACCTCAGTTTCTTCATTAATTTTGTGTTTCGGTCATTGAATGTTTTGCTTCTAGTCATTGAAAAGCGTCAACTTATCATATCTGAACTGGATCACTATTCTTCTTCTTCACTCATCATCATGTATTGGGCTGATGATCCGGCGTATCGCGAGCGAAAGCGTCTCCGAAATCGTCGACAAAAGCAACGAAGTAGACAGAACCGGGAGAAAAGGATGGCTAAGGAAGAACAAGAGTGAATCGATCGAGAGCTTGAAGAAATGATAAGAGAAATCAAGCCAATCGAAGAGGCCGCGGCCAAAGCAGCCGCATCAACAGAAAAACGCCCTCGGCTGATAAGCCTCAACATGCAGATTTTCAATCTCTATTCTACCGACCCCGTTAAATTCGGGTCTCCAATCCTAGGATTTCCAACAGATAAAATCGAATTCTACTACGATCTGGTGGATGAATCCGGGGACCTTTCATTGCCAGTCGCGGCACGCGCTGACTTGCGCATGAACACGGCCTGCGAGTTGGACCAATTCACCCAGCCAAGATACTTCAGCACCGGCTTTGAAATTTACAAAGACAGTCTTCGAGGGGTGGAGGCGCAGATTCACTTCATCGACGACAATCACTTGATACTCAAGGTCAGTCGTGATTTAGTCTATGTCGGCGAGGAAATACCCAAGGACGCATCCTTCACATTTACATACTATGGGATCCGCGACAAGTCTGAGACCGAGCAGAAAGCGAAACAGAAGGAAGAGAAGAAGAAGGCGCGTGGTCGCTCAACAACTCAAGAGCAGCCTGTCAGGAGACTGTCGATTGCTTCGACTTGTTCGAGAGACATGGAATATTACATGTAGATGGGGCAGATGTTATTCTGCACACCAAGACAGGCAGACAGAAACAATCAGGACTGAATCGACTGGTAAGCCTTCTTTCGAGTGCGGATTAGAATTTGATCACCTGCTCTCCATGGGCTGACTGCTGGGTGTTAAATTCTGCTAGCTAGGTAGTGACAAGGCGGGATACATGGTATGGGAGCAATGGCGCGTTTTTGTTTACTAGTTTATATCGAGTCGAGTTCAATACGATACACAGATCCAACTGCGCGTAGCTCTGAGTTCATCGTGATCTATCGACGCTTTCGAGTTGCAGGCTGGACAGAATCAATCTGTCACTAAAGATGCACTGGGTGATTAATAGTTTTGTCTGGCCTTGCACTATTGGGTCCAGAAGCTAGCATATCCGAATGCCATATCATGCTAATATTTCCCAATAACTAAATCATCACTCATCGCCTCATAGCTAGACCTAACACATATTAGCACACCAATCCCAACACCAAGGCATCACCCTGTCACTTTTTGGTCACCAGCCATGCTTCCAAAGCCCGACTCGCTCTGTGCCGTCCTGGTTGCTGGCACCTTGTAGGCTGTGCCTATCACGGGTGTTCAGACAGCCTTCCTGCTTGATGGCTTTGTTCCCTACAGGAGCAAATAGAAGTAGGAGCGAAATCGCTGAGAAGCCGAATGCTGCTCTAGTCACAGAAAAGATCATCATAAGCATCTCGTTGGTTCTGGGGAGACTGCATATACTCAAGACATCGTTTATCATTCTTCATCGTGATGGCCTCTTTACTAGCTCGCAAAGTTGTTTCTGGCTAAGACATCCGAACGAAAACACTCCTAAAATCCCAAATTTGATGTTGTGTCTATCGAGCATCTTCGCACCGGAATGCTTGAACACAGGGTTCAAGGCGCGTGAACAAGAAATCTCACCCAGTAGCGTTTGTTGAGTTTGATTCGATACCAATAGAGTTTCATACACTTATCATCTGATCAAGTGGTGTCAAATATATGTAGACTCATCAAGATGTTGGGCCAGCTCTACCAGGTAAGTTAGAGGAGAGTCATCCCGTAAGGCTTAGGTTACCATAATAAAGTAGTATAAGTGCTAGCCTTTGCTGATAGAAAGTGACCAGATTATTTCGTCTCTTAAGCTTTTAAGGGCCAATTCTTCTGATACCCTGAGGCCTAGGGCTGGAGCCAGGGCCTGCATGGATCGACGAGAAGCGACAAGATTATATGCAGCTCGTTGCGGTCAGATCCAATCATCCGCGTAGCCGGAGCGGCATCTTCATGACCAGGGCTCGCCGGCAGGCTACAGGGTCTTTCATCTTTTCAACTTCCGTGGGGGTTCCCTGTTGGTGATATTCAACCATTCATCGTAGTAGATAGTATTGATCCCCAACTACATCCATAACAGGCCTTATCACTGCCTGCCACCAGAACTTCTCTTTTTCAGCCCGCAGGGGTATCGCTCTGTAGGTTGTCAGGTCTATGGGTATTGCAAGTGTTTCTGGGATACCCTGCAACCAACGCTTAAACACGGAACCTCTGAAATGTTGATACAACATGTCCATTTCCTTGGTTTGTTCTGGGCCCCACAATAGAGCTTGGCTGACGCTTCAGAAATGTTAGTTTCGGCACTTGATACAGTCTCACCAATATCCCTATCATTACCCCATATCCCTCCCCTTTCCAGAAGCCACTTCCTTCAACACGGACAGTGCTGCATCCTCCCAGTGTTGTCGGCAGTGCTGATTTCAGGCGCAGAAAACCGGAGAAGGCGATCTAAATTGTCCTATAGATTTCATCCAATGTCAACCTTTTTACACGATTACTATACACGCCGTGATCGGACCTGGAGTCAGTCTCTGGCGGTTATGAGAGAGATTAGTTTATACAACATCTCTGTCTGTGCCTCAACGATCTACGGCTCTTAGCCTAACACGGAGTAGAACTTTGGGAAATCTGGTACCCGACAAGGTCACGCCTCTATGAAACAATCACAGCCATCACCCAACTATGTTTAGGGCGGTATGGAGATCGTCTGCTAGCACACTATGTTGATGTCAACAGGTAATTAGTAGTAAACTGGATCCATCTACGGCCTGAACCTGCATTAGTGTTACCCAGGCGGATATACGGCCCAATGTCCTTCATGCGATCGAAGCTTCACTACTACGAAGACGTGCACGATGGAAGTTGCCGTACGGGGAGGACCCATTCTGTCCCTAACTAAGATGAGGACCCGTTCGTAGTTGACATTGCAGATGAGTCATGTTAGAAGTCACAGGAAGAAAGCGCCGGAAAAACAGAATTGATAGTCACAAGGATATTTGCTGATCAACATTCGCGTCGTCGCTTTGAGAGCCCTGAAGATCAGCAGTCGATGCGGCTAAATCTCGAACGTCTTTGATATCGAATTATAGGGTAGTTTCGACAATTTTGCCATACTATCGCAGACCGTTATTTTGCAGAAGTGTTTATTACAAGCTTGGATAGTAATGAAGTACTCTTGTTTATTATTTCCCGTCTGTTACCCGGCAGCCTGATGCTTCATTATTGTTTTCCTTTATCCTTTGGTGGCTCATCTGCTGCCGTCCATCCTCTGCCACCATTGGAGTGCAGATCTTAGCTTCAAGAGTCTCAGGTTTTCAGGGTCCAGCCCGTGCCCTGTACAAACGGACCGCGAAGTTGTATCAAGCAGCTCCTGAGATGGTCTTGGTTGAACATCCTTTGGTTATCTTGTTTTCTTTTTTAGTTTTTGCCTCATCCGTCTCCCGCTCCGAGATTGTTGGTTCCGGCGCCTGCTCGGAAACTCCGAATCGGAATGACCCGCACCAGTTAAGTCAACGGGTGAGGCTTTCTGCCCAAAACTTGTAGGAACTGAACACAGATTACTCGATAATGACACAGCCAAACATCGTTATTTCGCTTGGGGGAAAAGGTCCAGCTCTAATTGAGGCGTTGGCAGGTGGGTAGCAGAAGAAATGTCCTATAGGGCTTAAGTTGCGAAAATAAAGTGGTCTAAGTGCTGGTCCAAGCTGGTATAAATTGACTCCATTATTCTGTCGCTCATGCTCAAGGCGGCCGATTCTTCTGTCATCCTGACGGTTGACAATATGTACCGAGACAGTTGAGGGTCAAGAATCGCTGAGACATGTCCGAGCATTTTTGGCGCTGTGACCTCTCCGTGTCTAGGCTTCTAGAGACCCATCGGGGAAGCCCCCCGGAGGCAATTATGCAGCGGTGATCGTCGGCGTTGTGGAATGGAAGCTTATGCTTAATCTCAGTCGCCCTGTTGGGCTGAATGGAGGCAAAGAGGTCAAAATGGTGAAGAAAATGTGATTAATCACATTTGCAGCGTCATTTAGTTCTGAGACAAGAAGGCTTGGGATATTTAGCAACCTGATAGTTTGGGTAGCTAGAAGAAAAACAAGTCATGGCGAATTGCTGGCGGTAAAACAGGAAAACGAGTCGAGTCAGCCAATGACCAGAATGCAGCATGTCGCTGCGGTTGAATTTCCCAATCAAGCATAGAGTGACGAGTCAGTCTCGGGAATTAGGCTTGGAGATCGACGTTTTACCCGGTAGCCCAAGTCTCACGCAGACGTTGCTTTGTCTCAGCGACTCAGCTCGATGCTCACATCCTTCTGGCCGGGCTAGATCTGGCCAAGCCAGCCACTGGAAAGGTAGTTGGGAACAAGGCGGGGGGCGAAACAGCATTTAACAGGTCCCATCTTGGTCACCGGTCATAAGAGGAGACTGTCATGGTACCTATCTCCTGAGTCGGCAGAGTCAATGGTTGAGACGCCGGACATAAAACTATCTCACGTAGCTTCACATTGCCACGCGATAAGGACAGCTAAAGGTGTTCTCATGAGGTAAAGCCACGTGCAGAGAGTCAGTGCTTGTGCTGGACTGACGACAGAGAAAGATTTTGGGAGCAGGTGCCGAGAAAAAGAGAGGGAATTGAGTTCAGCCGGTTCGTGGGTGGCGGTAACGACTAAACTGGTTTGAGAAGAATTTGACTCGAGGGCCCATCTTCTGGAACCCCAGCCTCTCGATGGAACGGCGAGGGGTCATAAAAATGGAACATATCTCATAGGCGAAAACGGTGCAGGGATTTCTGTCAGGCGAATCCTTCCGGCACCCTTCATGCAATCACAGCGACTACTGCAGCTAAAAAAGCCCCTGTCCTTGCCCCCGAAACATCTGGTACAGGGAAGCCTGCCAGATTTCCAACGTTGAGTTCACAGGGATTTATCTTTATGGGGAGAATAATCTCCGTTTAACGAGTAAACAAGAGAAATTTGATTGCAAAATGCGAAAAAAGAAGACCAATGACACGGAAATGGGGTCTCCCGAGAGTGAGAGAAGAGAGAACTGGACGGTAGATTAAGGCCCGATGTAACTCGGGTCGATCTGTGAAAAAAGCAGATCAAAAATCTCCATATGATGATCAAAAAGTTCCACTCCCAGATTGGAAAAAAAACAAGATGATATGAAAGCGGAGCAACAAACTACTGTAGCCCCAGCAGTAGACCTACCCAAATCCCAGCGACCAAGCGACCAGTGCCCCGAGCTTTCCTGTTCTATGTGCACCTGGAGTTGCTTTTTCTCATTTTACACGGGCCGCACGGCATTTCGGGCCCTGATTGGATCCTTCGGAGCCCCGTCGTACCGGGACTACCAGCACGTCCTAGCAAAGTCGAAACCCGACTAGAGCCGCTACACTGACTCGTTCCCTTCCATGAGGAACAGGGGCTTGTAGATTCGATCCATAGAGACAGTGCCCCTATCCGTTAGTACGGGGAAGTCGTAGACTAAGATCCAGTGCCTAAGCCTTAGCACCACGCCGGTCCTTTCCACCAACCGAATTAACGGTACGGCTCTCTCCATTGAATCAGTATCAAGTGGCTGTGATTTGCCCAGTCGTAGCACTGAGCAGTTTACTCAGCGCTGTAGGCCCGAGGAGATCGCTGGATTAGTAGAGACTGACCAGTTTAAAACTCAGCCGGCGAGCGCTAAAATAGCAGATATTCTGGAACCTCTCGATTCAGGTCGTGCGCAGTCAGTCAGTAGTAGCAATATCTGCAAGAAACCGATTTGACACGGGAGCTTGCAACAGGGGTCCTTCTCCTTCTTTTCCTTCTTAAGCATCCCAATTGCCGGATCCCCTTCCATGGAGCCCTGCACGATCCTTCGCTCATTAAATAACATAACATCCATCTTTTAGATACTCGGTCCCTGCCTTGGCTTTCTTCTAGTTTTTGACTTTTCTCACTTTACCCGGGACACGACCGTCCTCTCTTTCTCTCGCACAAACACAAACCTTCGTCATGGCTGGGTTTCTAGTGCCCGATCACTACGTGAACGTCGCGCCCAGCACCACCGACCAGCTCGTCGCCAGTATCATTTGGGGCTTCACAATCGCTGTTGGAATTTTCTCGGGACAAAAGGCAGGAAAGCAGACATGGGATCAGTACAAACGAACAGGGCGCTTCAGGGCTTACGTGTGGATGATCTGGGCTGAGTGGCTAGCGTCCATGCTAATCGGAGTTTTGTCATGGTGTTTTATTCGCGGTTTCATTGCTCCCAGGTACGTCTTTTCTTGCATCGCCTTCAGCCTCAAGGAAATGATCCTAACTTGATTTCTGTGTAGCTTCTGGATTTACTTTACGCTCCGTACGCTTCCTCCCTTCAACTCCAAACGAACGAGCCTCCACTAACATAAAGCAACAGTTTGTGCATGGGTGGTGCAAATTCAATGCATTTGTGGTATCATCATCAACCGAATTTCGCTTCTTATGGTCGACAGAAGGAACGCTATCAAGATCAGATGGATGACCGCTATCGTTCTTGGCCTTATCAACATCAGCGTCTTCTGTATCTGGATACCCGCCCAGCTCCAGATCTCTCAGAGGTGGCACGACATCAACTATGTTTGGGATCGCATTGAAAAGGGTCTCTTCCTGGTCATTGATGCTATGCTTCACGGATATTTCATCTACCTCATCCGTATCAAGCTGATTGCCAACGGTCTCACCAAGTACCAACCTCTGATGCGATACAACTTTGCCATGATTTTCATCTCAATGAGCTTGGATGTCATTCTCATTGGCAGCATGTCAATTGGCAACGGTTTCATGTAAGTTGTGCATCCATCAACATCATATATCCGAGTCTGACCGGGAACAGTTACGTGCAATTCCATCCCCTAGTCTACATGCTCAAGCTCCATATTGAGATGAATATTTCCGCTCTCATTGTCAGAGTCGTTCGCGCTACTGGCGACCACAGCTCTTACCCCGACGGCTACGAGGAGACCGAGTTGCGATCCAAGGTGCGAGCACATGCGTCCAGAAAGACAGGCTCAACCAGAGCCGGTCCCATGTTCTCGACAACAGGACGCAACCTCGAGGTGCGCGTTGATGCGGGTGAATCCAATGACACACAAACCAAGCCTCACCAGGGACCCGGTATCACAAAAGTGACACAGACGCACGTACAGGTAATGGACAAGCACGACGAGGATGATGCTAGCTCCCAATCCTCAACGCGGCACCTGAAGGAGCCCTACGCCTATCCTTGAAACAAAAGGGCTGACCAAGGAGTGTTGAAGATGGAGACAATCCATTCTAGACCCGACTCGCCAAAGTGAGGCGATAAGATGCGATATAAACGGTATAACGATAACAGTTCCACCTTTCAACGTGTCTCGGGAAATTATCCCGAAACTTCATGTAAATACTACACTAGAACTTAGAGCTTAGACAGCCTTCTGAGTGGCCTTTACCATTTTTAGCCTTAGCATTACGTATAGATAATGTACTTAATCAATAATATGGACACCAGAGTCATGGACTGCAATTTCCAAGGTTGAACTAACGTCTATACCAAGACATTCTTCGCCGAGGTGATCTGCACCGGGACCCAGAGCCCCCGCCCGGGAAAAATACTGCCCGCAAGGGGCTTTAAATATTAGCTAAATACTTTACTCCACCATCTCTGTTACCTCGTAAAACCCCATGAGGAGACCTTTAATGTCGTATGTACCTGGAATGGAACATCGTTCTTCTGAGAATGGTCTAGGTTGGTGTATTCATATCTTTTTGAGCATGCATAGGTTCCATACTTGACAGAAGCACACAAGTCTGCATGACTTATGCTGGTCTCGCACTAACAGTCAACCCCTGCCCGCTGTAATTATATTGGTCCTTTGCGGTGAAGGAGTTGTTCCAGCTCTAGCTAGCATGGGGGAAAAGATGGGGGCGACTGGGCTTGGCCCAAAGGATTCGAGCTCGAGCCACAAGCCGCCGTTAGCTGTGCGACTATAGACTATGATTAACCGTTAAAGTGATTGTAGTGGCAAACGCGGGTAAGTGGCTGACATCGAACCCGTCATTGAATCGATGATTGGCGATCAATTATCATTCACCCAGATTAAAAATAATAAAAAAAAGAAATCCTGCAGCCAAGCAGTGCTGTCAATATGCCGCCCTCAATCTTATGCCGAGCATCCGAGGTAAGGACAGGCCGAGGAACTGATACATCGTATCTACATCTGGACTAGCTGCGTCTGCATATGCGCAATACCGTTACAACGCGGCAATACTCTTGGGCATCACCGTGTTCTACAAGGAAGTGAGACAGCAGGGCACCATGTAAACAGCCCTGTTCTGTCTGCCAACAGCATCCAGACCAGGCCTGGTTTATGTATACGTATCCCATAGGGCCAATTGCTGAGGTTTGTCGAGGTGCACAGTCAGTGGAGTTAGCCTGAGCTTTAGGACCTTCTCCAGCCAGTTGTTGCTTAGTATTGACCGCGGACCGACGCCGGAACGGCTTTCTTGTGGTGACCAGACTGGATGCAGCTAGCCGCTATGGAGAACAGACTCGCCTCGAGCTTACCAACAGATTGAAAATAGGGTCATTCCCCAGCTCATTGCAACCTACCCCGACGAGATCAGCGTTTGACCAGTACAGCACAGCCTGGATGAAACGCTCTATGTCGAGTAAGGATCAGGTATTGAATTTCAGGGTCCAGATTCAACCAACGGGTTGCCCCATCGATGTCTTCAACAGCCTGCAAGGCCACGAGCCCGTTGCTAAAAACGGCCGTCGTACATAGACCTTGCAAATATATAACTTGCCCCCTCGCGCTTATGAGGCACTCTCTTTCCTCATTCTGACTCTTCAAACGCGAGTCGCTCCAGTATCCTCTTTTCTCTTCCCTTTTCCGTAAAGATCTCCAAGCGTTTAACCTAGCCCAGTCAGTCACCATGGGTTTGTATACTAAGCTCGCTAGCGACATCAGCGAAGTCGACGTTATTATTGCCGGAGGTAATTAACCCTTATTGCCTGCTATTGCTTCAAGCCACATTGCTAACTCAGGTGAACTATAGGTGGAACGGCAGCATGCGTTATTGCCGGCCGTTTAGCGGAGGCCGATCCCAATCTGTCTATCCTTCTAATTGAGGGAGGCCAAGACAACCGTGGAGTCCAGAACATTGAGAACCCTGTGTTCTACCTTGACCATCTACTACCCACATCCACCACCACTTTGTTCTACAAGGGCAACAAGTCAGAACATCTCAATGGACGCGAGTCCATCGTTCCCTGTGGTGGAACACTGGGTGGTGGCTCGTCGATCAACTTCATGATGTACACTCGTGCTCAACGATCAGACTTTGACTCTTGGAAGACGCCCGGATGGACCGCGGATGAGATTTTCCCTTACATGAAGAAGGTAAGCTTCCAAGATTCTAGTGAGGCGTTGAATATGCAGCTAATTGGCCCAAGCTTGAGACATACCACGGACCTGGTAACCCTGAACATCACGGATACGAGGGCCCCGTCCATGTCTCAGACGGCACTTACCGCGCCAAGGTTCCCGAAAGTGATTTCATCAACGGCTGCGCAGAAGTCGGTTGGCCTGAGATCAAGGATCTTCAAACCCTTGATGCCAACAACGGTGTTGAAAGGTGGCTGAAATATGTCTCCAAGGAGGGTCGCCGACAGGACACCGCTCATGCTTATCTTCACGACAAGATTGGTGATACCAAATATCCCAACCTCCACATCCTGGTTGAGTCCAAGGTTGTGCGCGTTATTATTGATGATGAGAAGCGCGCTGTGGGTGTCGAATACACTCCCAACCCTGTCTTCCAAGCACAAATAGGCCCAACTCAACACCCCAAGTTGACCGTCAAGGCTCGCAAGCAAGTTATCGTCTCATGTGGTGCCCTCGGTACACCTCCCGTTCTTGAGCGATCTGGTATCGGTAGCCCTGAGATTCTCAAGAAGGCTGGTGTCGAAGTCAAACTTGAGCTGCCCGGTGTTGGCCACGAGTACCAGGACCACCAGCTTATTCTTTACCCTTTCAAGACCAATCTTGAACCACATGAGACTATCGACCGCGTCCTTCGTAACCCTCACAAGCGTCAGGAATTGATCGACTCTAAGGACCCTGTTCTTGGTTGGAACTCAATTGATATCTCCTCCAAGTTCCGACCTACGGAAGAAGATGTCACTGCTCTGGGACCCGAATTCCGCAAGAAGTGGGACAAGGATTTTAAGGATGCTCCTAACCGACCTCTGATGCTTATGGGCATGGTTTCTTGGTAAGTTTCCTCAACACTTCTTTTTGATCAACATAGCTAACAGGGTTCCAGCTTCCTTGGAGATCCTTCCACCGTTCCTGAGGAGCAATATGTCACTATCGGTAACTACACCGCCTATCCTTACTCTCGAGGCCACATCCACATTACCGGCCCCGAGCAAGATGACCCTCTGGACTTCGATGTCGGTTTCCTTAGCGATGAGCACGACATCGACTTGAAGAAGCAAGTCTGGGCCTACAAGAAGATGCGTGAGATTATGCGCCGAACCAAGATGTACCGTGGCGAAATCGCGCCTGGCCACCCACAATGGCCCGAGGGCTCCAAGGCTGCCTCAGTCGACCTCACCGAGTCCCTGACCGACGTCAAGGACATCGAGTACTCCGCCGAGGATGACAAGGCCATTGAGCAGTGGGTCCGAAACAACGTCGCCACAACATGGCACTCCATTGCCACATGCAGGATGGCTCCTCGTGAGGAAAACGGTGTTGTTGATGAGCGCCTTAACGTCTATGGTACTAAGGCTCTTAAGTTGGCTGACTTGAGTATCGCACCTGAGAACGTCGGTGCCAACACAAACAATACGGCCATCACTGTCGGTGAGAAGGCGGCCGATATTATCATTAAGGATCTGGGTCTTGGACAAGCGGCTTCGCGACTGTAATGAGCATTTTGATAGCATGATTTGATTTTGGCGAATTATGACGGCCTTGGTTTGCATAGTTTTATTTGTTCAGTAAAAGCAACAATACGAATACCATTGAACAAGCTCTCTTTTATCCCATCGATTGCCAGTAAGGTGAACATCCTATAGCCATAAATCGGGACTCTACGCCAAGTAATCTAATATTTGAATCTACAACCTTGTCATCGTGTAGAATTCGGGGTCAGGATGCTCGATGGGTAACTCTGGTTAGCGAAACCTTATGCAGAAAATGCAACCTTGCGCAATTTGAGTTCGAGATCCAGATCTTGAAGACTTGTCGATCGAGCCGGGGCGGCCTGGTCGACGATGCAAAACATAAGATTTAGGTTCAACTAGTAAAGTCAAACATGGAAACGAGAAACAATCGCTTGTCAAGATCTTGGCATGATGTGATTGATGGTCAAGGTAGGCGCATGCATACCATGTACCGATGGATACCATGCCGCTGTTACATGCAAACTGGTCACCCCGAGAACCGATGCAGGATATACGTTATACGATTTCAGCTCATGATGATTGGAATAAAAATTCAAAGCAGCTCGTAGCACTATCAGCTGTGCATGCTTTGAATGACATTGTGTCGCTGTACAAGGCCAGGGCGTGTATGGGTCAGGGTTCAAAAATGCAACAAAAAACATACAACAGCGGG